TACGTAAAGAAACTTAGCTAAAATTTAATACGCCATTTTACTTATCAGCTGGGGGGCCGGGATAGACTGGTTGGTAGGGCACTGGGCCCATTGCCAAGAGTTCGTGGGTTCAATCCCTGCCAGTCGAAGACTCCCCGCGTAGTAAATGGTGACTGACGCACGTTAAATTTGTCGAGTCGCAAAGTCATCCATGTTCCCATAACAAATTAAAACCTCTGGGGGTACTGATCCACGAGTTTCCTTGTCTTCTGGATTGGGATCAAAATTACAAGGCTACGTAGTTGAACATTAGTAGTCGTAAATCCAAAATTGGGTCGGCTGTTCAACAACGGATATAACATAAGATATAAAACGATCAGCTAGCTGGAGCCGCGATGGCTCAGGGAATAGAGCGTTCGCCTTCTAATGAGGCGATCCGGGTTTGAATCCCAGTCGATACGAATTTCGCAACTGGCTTGCACCGACCACAATGCTGACGTGAAATATCCTCAGTGGTAGACGGATCATGGGTTAGAGTCCTCTTGCCGTCAGGCTAAGAGTGGGAGGTTCTCGTGATCTTCCTCTCCATGTAACGCCAATGCGGGTTAGCTCCATTAAAAAGTCCTCCACGAAGGCAAATTTCTCCCAATACTCGATCCAGGAGTCCCCTTGTCTTCTGGATTGGGTTCAAAATTACAAGGTTACGGAGTTGAACATTAGTAGTCGTAAACCCATAAAATTGGATCGGCTGTTCAACAACGGTTATAAAATAAAATATAAAACGATCAGCTGAGTTCGTGGGTTCGATCCCCGCTGGCCGACGACTACCCGTGTAGTAAATGGTGACTGATGCACGTTAAATCTGTCGAGTCGCAAAGTCATCTGTGTTCCCATAACAAATTAATACCGCTGGGAGTACTGATCCAGGAGTTTCCTTGTCTTCTGGATTGGGTTTAAAATTACAGGGCTACGGAGTTGAACATTAGCAGTCGTAAACCCAGAAATTGGGTCGGCTGTTCAACGACAAATATTTAAAAAAAAAAAAAAAAAAAAAAAAAAAAAAAAAAACGATTAGCTGGCTTTGACGTCATGGATCACATGTGTGGGTATCTGGGATCTTCTTCTTCTTGAAGTACAAGTACCCAATTCAGCTGATTACATAATTTTTTATTCATTTAATAATATTTTTGATGATTAAGTGAAATTCATCAGCACTCACAATAATATCATATGGGTTAATTATAAATAACGATAATATTCTCAAATTGATACTCATCGTTATCGATAATGGTCACGATCATATCGTACTCGATAAATATCGTACATGCGCTATTTATTCTAATACGTACTATTTGCGAATACGTTCTTATTGTGATTGTCTAAATAGTATCAGCGTTTTGATAAATTACGATATCTTAGCAATTTAAGTAATTAAACTTACATTATGATTAATCAATATTTTTGCTACTCAAATGAAATTTAACAAAATTCACAATAATTTAATTTCTGTAAACTATAAGTATTGATAATAATCGTGGAATTATCGTATGCAATATTTATCGTTCTCGATGATAATCTTGATAATGTCGTATTTGATAATAACAAGTATCATATCGAGAACAATCAAAATATTGCCGAAAATTCGATATTTATTGTAAAAGAAAGTGGTTAAAATATAGCGTTAGAATAATGTTTAAATGCAGTTAGCTCGATGTCTATATAATGTTGACATATCACGATACATCGGAAATGTCACCCGACTCCAATTCTGACGTCATACGTGAATTTTTGGCTTGTCTTCAATCAATCAATCTTACGGATATGATCGATTTTAATATTATGAATATGATTTTTAGCACAATTAACCAAAACAATTTTGGGCAATATGTTCCATTTGTAAATATATTAATTTATAAGTATTAATTATAATATTTACTATTACTAAGAGGCTTGGCCCACCATAATTGTTTCTCGCTCATTATTGTAATTTCACCATAATACCAGAGAACATTTTCGTAACAAAATGTACAAATTACTGTAGTTCTATGCAAGAAAGTACATTTTGTCAATGCGTCAAAATGAAACGAATAATCAACTGCATTGGAAAAATAATCAACTGCACATGAGAAACAAATTATAGATAGTCAGAATGTGTGATTCAATAAAAAAAAAAAAAAATTAATGAGAAGTAATTTTATTCGCTAACGAGATTTAAAACAGTTCAAATACAGAACGTTATCTCTCTTGTATAACAAAGAAAAGAACATTTTGTTAATATAATAAAAAATTAAAAAAAAAAAATAAAATATANTCTACCTTCCCTTCAAAGATGCGCGCATTTTAAATCTAATGATAGGACTCATTCTTATTGGTTAGAGGGGGTGACCTCAAATATGCTAAAAAATAAGTGCAGACGATATTTTAAGTCACGAAATCCGACATAAAAAAAGTATGTTCTCTGAATAAATATACCTTTTTTTCAACGAATTCAGATTTCTACTGACCCTCGAAATATAGGAGGTAGCCGCAATCTGGGGAATACGGTCCCAATAGTTTGGTCAATAGAGCATTCCAAAGTTTGGATCTTTTAACGTTAATTTCACTTTTTGTGTATTTCGCTATATTTCTTAATCGAATTGAAAAATTTTTTTAAACACAATTATAAAATTCGTTTATCGAAAGATAATTACATGCAAAAAATAAATTCGATTTCTCAGGAACTATTCGAACCGATTTTGCTCAAATTTCGCATTTTGTTATATAAAATTACATTCTTTAAAATGATGCAAAAAAAATTTATACCTTACAATTTAAAATGTTATAGAACATTCTTAAATAAAATAATAAATATTTACTTAAGTTACTTTTAGTATGGAATTATTTTTGGATAAACGAATTTTATAATTGTGAGTAAAATTTTTTCAATTCGCTTAAAAAGTTCTCGAGATATAGCGAAGTACGCGAAAAGTAAAATTGACATTAAAGGGTACAAACTTTGGAGCGCTCTCCTGATCAAACAATTGGGACCATATTTTCTGGATTGCGGCTACTCCCTATAATTTGGGGCTGAAAATCCGAATCCGTTGAAAGAAAGGTATGTTTATACTTTTTTGTACATGATTTCGTAATTTAAAATATCATCATATCATATGTACTTATTAATTAGTATATTTTAAGTCACCCCCTTGAACCATTAAGATTCAGTCCTAAAACATGAAGATCCGATCTATAGATCAAAAGTTATTCAGGGTGGTCCGTTTTTTTTTGCGCACTGTACAGTAAAACCCGTTAAAGAAGTTTTTATCACCTCTCAATGCTTTTAAAAATCTGTTATCAAAATTATCTGTTATTATTTCATCTGTTATTACAATATTCTACAATCAATACCACATCTCATTACTTTTAAAATTCAAGTGGGTGAAAATTCCGCAATTTTTCTTCTTTCAGTACAGTATACTCATCAAATAATCACTCCATTTTAAGTTTAAAAGAAAGTACAAATAAAATATTACAAATTGTTAATTAAATATTTTTTTTAATTAGATACAAATATTATGGGAAAATAACATTAATGGTTACCTGAGAGTAAACAATTACAAGATTCTAAAATTCGAACAGAATTTTGAAAACTCCACTAATGTTATGTTTATGAAACAGAGGGTGATCAGGCATGATATTCAAGGCAGTTTTATCAATGAAATAGTATTTATATGTAATATAAATATGAATTTATATGTAATTTGACCATTTATAAGATTCATTTCTATTTAAAAGGTCGGAAGCCATAAGCCAGTTTAAGGTAATTAATATAATGACATAAATAGAGTTACAATGTGAGTGTAATCTTCAGTTTTTTATACTTCCGTTAAAATGGCCTGACAAATTGTAGGGTAAATAGCACAAATCATATTTTGTTGTTGTTGTTTCTAATGCCACTTGCCACACTAGCAAGCCCGCTTGGTGAAGCCGAGAAAATTTAAGGCATAGGGTGGGCTTCATGTCTTTCAGTGGCGCCATTTATGGCCAAGAATTCATCTTCAGCCACGCGCATGTCACACCCGTTTATAGGGCGGACTCATTCATTCATCCACAGATCGTAATTTTTGATCTGGATCAGAGAAGGATCGATCTCCAATCCAGTACCCACAGCGGTATTGATTTGTTATGGGAACATGGAGGATTTTGTGACTTGACAGATTTAACATGCATCAGTCACCCTTTACTACACGGGGAGTCTTCGGTCGGCGGGGTTAGAATCTACGAAATCTCGGACACGGGCCCAGCGCCCTACCGACCAGGCTATTCCGGTCAAATCATATTTTAAAGATTATTAGTACCAGTGCATTATACAGGATGCGATATTTTTTAAACTAAAAAGTAAAAATAAAGTTTTATTACAAATTTTAATTGCTAGTGCCATTTGTTTAAACTTTATATGGTTAACCATCCACATATTTGAGAATTCAAGTTATTCTTCTAAACATTACTTTTTTTTATAATAACTTCATACTGTACTCAAGGGGTGATAAACGGGGACAATTCTGGTTGAAACTCCTCACAAAAAGACTAGTGTTAAATAATAATTTAAAAAAATTGAGAATTTCTTTTTAAAATAGATAATAAACTAGTAAAACAAGTAAAATTTTCAACAAAAATAGGTTTTTAATAACACAGGTGGAAATTATAAGATTTTATTACATTTATGAAAATAGATATCACGAGAATCAAAGTGTTAAATACATCTTACAAAACATTAAATTAGGATTTTTTATGTCTCGGGGAAGGGGCTAGCAATAAAGTTTATCCAGAATCCCATGAAACGTACGTCTAGTCATGTCTTCAGGCATACATCAATTAAAGTTACACTTTCATCTCAAATAATTATTGTGCATGCCCTGTTTTACTTGTTTTGAACAAAAAGTTTTATTTAATAAGTAAATAAATAAAAACGACTAGAAACTTAACAAAATAGCACATACAGTAAAATATTAAAAAAAAATATATACTTCGTTTTCACATACCTTTTTCTATACTTAAAGAATCAATAGCTCGATAGCCAGCATTTTTCAGACTAAATTTTTCGCCATTTGCCATCAAAATTTTATAAAGAGGGACACAATCCTTGAAAGGAATATGAAGTTCCCAACCTAGTTCTCCTACAAATGAAAGGCGTATTGCTAGCACCTAAAATAAATTAAATCGATCATAAAGACTAGAATGTTGCACTATAATTTGATAATTAGTATGATTAGTAATGATGCCAACTCAATTATGCCACTAAGTCGGCATCTATGATGGCATTGACATTAAAATCATTCGCGGAATCGACATCCAGCATACTTAAAAGGGTTTTGACATTAAACTAAACTTCTTTTTACCAAATCCCTGTTTTATTTTAAAAGTCTAGCAATAGGTTTTGATTATTGTCTTTTTATAAATCCAGGTATTATAATTTGAATTGTTCATTTCTACCTTCCCTTCAAAGATGCGCGCATGTTATGTGTAAGACTGTTCTCTGACTGTTCTGTCTTCATATGAAATGATGCTTTTATGCGAAAAGTTTGCTATTTACGTAACTGCTATGGGTTTGCAACAGTTTGTCATAACTGTTAGGTTAAATTTAGCCTATCTATAGCTATCGCTCTCTATGTCAATTCTGAAAATGGCGCAAAACATCAATAAGGTGAAAAGTCATAGTTTTGTGAAAATGAAAAGCGTTTGAGGTCAAATTTTTTAATAGTTTTAAACTTACTCCAATACTGTGTTATCTGGGGTCACAAAAATTTGCCAAAACTGAGAATAAGACAGTGATTTTAACAATTGTCATCTAGGAGGGAAAATGTCACCAATTTGGTGATTTTTTTTAAAAAATTTAATAATTTTTCAACTATTTCAGTTATTTGTCCATTCTAAAGCCCAGATCATATGCATGGCAGGATGATATACATAGTTTAAAATAATCACTTTGCTTCGAGTGTAAGGCACTTAAACTGTGGCTTTTTAAAAATTTTCTTTGGACCAAGAGCTTTGAAAAACCATATTAATACTTCCCGGTGGTCCTACTTGGCGATTTCATCATTTTTTAGATCAATAAATGATTAAAACTTGCAATATCATTTAGTACAGACACTCAGTTAAAATTTGAGCTCTCAAACTATTTGGAAAGTGGTCAGAATTTCGATTGAGTACAGATTCTATTGGGCCATTAAATTATGCTTTGAGCGATCAGGAAAGAATTAAAACTTGTATTGTCACCAGGTAGAGAATCTCAATAGAAAATTGACAACTCTAGCTAATCGTAAAGTAGTTAAAACTACATCTTTACAGGCACAAAAGTGAATTAATAAGAACACATAAAGTGTATTAAATGTCCAAGAACCAAAATGAATATACTTTCTCAATTTTGAATGTGTAAATAATTGAATTTATTTCTTTAAAACATATGCAAACATGAAAGTGAAAAAAAAACTGTCTTTAAAAAACAATAAGTACAATTTAATTTTTAATAAGTAGTTTAAAACAGGTTTGAATTCCATTGAAAACTTCAATTTTCAAAATGATTACAAAACTAACCTGGAAACCTGCAAGATTTATCACTTTGTTAGTAGAGAATGGAAAAGCAGTGTCACCTAAATCTTCATTGGTCAAAGATTGTAAAAGTTCTCGACTGAAAAGGTAAATTATAACAATGTGAGAGCAAGAAACTAAGTTGTTTATTGATGATTAATTTGCAAATGTTTTAGTAACTTTTTAACACACACATTGATTAATTGCAGAGTTATTTGCTTTTCATAAATTACAATATTAAAAGCTGTTACTTGTTCAAAGTAATTAAACTAAAGGAAATCACTTCTTTATAATTTAGGAAAACTGAAACACTTAAAGAAAAAAAAAGTAACTACATATCTATTTTTCACAAAAGCATATAGTCTAACAACTTCTATCTGAAAAGCTTGAGCTATTAATTAAACAGCTTTCGTTGAAAAAACTAAAATTTAAATAAACAAAAGATTTATATAAATGGAACTCAACAAATTTTTGTAAAAAGTATATTTGCAAAAGAGTTTTAATGAGATAAAAGGAGACAGTTATTAACAAATAATTTATATTATATTCAAGAAGTAATTTAGTAAAGACAATTCAAAAATGTTTAAACCGAAATTCTAAGATTTTTTTCACAACAAAAAAGTGAAGAGAAGCAATCGAAGAACTTGTTTTGCAAAACTCTTCAAACATTTGGACTTTCAAAACATTTTGTTACAATGTTCTGATTTGCATAAGTTAATTTAAAGGCGTTATTCATAAAGTCAGAAAAGCACATGGTATTTTTGGAAGTTGTTATAAATTCAATAAATGAGCCTACATACCTTTTAGGGCCCTGAATACTTAAAAGTCCCAGTTTTTCACTTAAATCAGCAATGGTAACAGAAAACTTGTTATCTTGTATAACATTATGGATGTGAGTAATATTTTGTTGAGATGCAGCACCACCTGCTGCAAGATAGAAACTGGGACCTAATAAAAAAAATTATACATGAAATTATGCACAGTCTTAAAGATGTCATAAATAGTGAAAAATCTTAAGGCTATTTTTCCGACTCAGCCATCACATGAAACAAAGCTTTTTAGTGAACAATATGCTATTTTTATGATTCTTGTAAGTTTTTTACTGTTTTTCATGGAAGCTCAGGGGATAGAGCATTCGCCTCCCGATATAGTAACCCAGGTTCGATTGTCCAGTAGTAGTTGGTTGATATGAAATTTGCTCCTGGCTGGCACTAGCCACAGAGCTGGCATAAAATATCCTCAGTGGTAGATGGATCATGGGTTAGAATCCCCTTGAGGTCTGGTTAACAGTGGGAGGTTTTTCCTCAGTGTGGTAAACACAGGTTAATTTCATCAAAAAGTCTTCCACAAAGGCTAGTTTGGCAAAATGCTTGATTGTGGCATCCCTTGCTTTCTGGGTTGGATTAAAAATTTCAAGGCTACGGAGATGGACATTGATAGACATAAACTCAAAATTGTGTCAGTTGAAAATTAAAATATAAAATAATGGAACTGCAATTTATAATTTAAAAAATTAAATATTTTTCAAGTTTTCCTTAATTTTTGACGAGCAAATAGAAAATATTAATGTTTTTTTTTTTAATTAAAACAGTTTTTATTATTACAATTGACAACTTTTCCACACAAGCATTCTGAAAATAATATTTAATTTCTTCATGTTCCTGAAATATCTGCAATTCAAGTATGCATTTAAACTTCAATCAGCCTGGAATTTACACAGTTTTAGATCCATGCTTATGAAATAATTCATCACTGTTTTAATGCCAGTTTATTAAAAAGAAAAGTTTTTGTTTGTGATTAATAAGTGAAAAACGAGTACTTTTTTTTAACCTTCATTGATCAAACAATTAAAAAATTTCTTGATTTTCTTCCTAAATTATTTTAAATTTCTTATCTTTTTTTTCATAATTGTTCTTTGAATTATAAAATCAAATTATTCAAAATTATTCAATCATTTCAATTTAGTTTTCAACTTTAATTAGTTAATTCCTTTAATTATTTTTATAATTTAACTCCGAGATTTGATAATGCTGTATTTAATTCTATTGAACATTAATTGTTCAAAAATGAGAAATAATAGCTGTCATAAAAATTTATTGAGTTAATAGCATTTTAAGCTGTATTTATTAAAGCAAATGTTTTTAGAAAAAAATCGTTTACCGGCAGGGTTTAGTTATTATCATATTATTACATATGAAAATCAGCCCCACTTAAAGGGATATAATTGATTCCAATCAATTGTTTTCAAATAATAAGTTGTTCCATTATGCTATTTTTTTGCAAAATTTTTCTTTGAAATTGTAAATAATACACAGTATTATATTTCTAGGGATAAAAACTCACTTTAATGATAATTATAATTAGAGAGTTGCAGTAATATCATAAAATATAAATATAATTTTAGCTGGTGATAGATTTCTTAAAAAAAAAAAATTACTTTCCTCTTCTTTTTTATAAGAGAAAAACTAACTTTAAAAGTGAAAAACTAAGCGAGGAGTGTGTTAGACAATGAAACCATAATAGTTTATACGAGGAAATTTAACATTGGTTTCATATAAAATAATTTAATTCCACTAAATTTTATTTGTATAAGCGAGATTTTTGATTATCCCTCCTGTACTACAATTCAGATGTGATAAACATGCAAAAAACAGGTTTTGCCCTAGTTATTCATTAGGAAACTAGTGTCTAGCAGGAAAATTTATCCCAGGGGCTTATAGATCAGAGAGTAATGTAAGCTAAAAGTTGCAAATGAGAGACACATCATTGGACACGATGCTAACGTACACATATTTATCGAATAAATAATGCTCTTTTTTAGAGCATTATTGAAAAATTTGTAAAATGTTCACAAAAGTTCAATCTACAAGTACAAATCAATGCAACATGAGTACCCTTAGATTCTAATTCTGGCATGGTGTTCTTGGTGGGAGGTAAAGCACTAACAGTCAGATCTGCTTCAACTCTTCCATGCTTATTTAACATACAAGTATACACTGTGCTTCCTTTAAAACAAAACAAATGGATTAAAAATAAATTACAAAATGGTAAATGCAAATATTGTATGTTCCAATGTATAAGTTGACCCGTTGTATAAGTCAAATTCCTATTTTTGATAGCGAGATAGCAAATTTATATTTTATTGTAGAATCTTTTAAAAAGTGTAAAATTTGCAATTCTTTCAATGGAGGGGAGGGGGGAGACGATTTTTTGTTGGACTCAGCAGATTGGGATGTAGAATTCATTGCAGATTCGGATCCCTATGACAACGCTGTTAATGTCTGAAACTGATGATCTTCTGGAACATTTAAATTTGTAGTTTCCTATATAGTAGTTTCATACATAATACAATATAGTAATTTTATATATAGAAGTTTTATCTATAATATATAGTAGTTTTATATGTAGTACACATAACAATTTTATATATAGCACGTTTTAAGGTTCTCATAGCGTTATATTTTTTTAAACTCTTGAATAAATTATCTTAATTTTTCTGAACATAATTTAAAACACAGTTTTTTTCAAAATAAAAAAAAAACCTTTGTATGCAAAAGAATATGCTAAGAGAAAATGCACAATCAATTGCTTATATAATGCATTAAAAATAGTTTTTTTTGAGTAGGTAAACTGATACTGAGTTATTCATACCTATCTCATTGTTTATAATACATCAATATTTTACAATCAATGAATGTCTGACTTTATTATTGTTGTTTAAATCAACCTATGGTGTTTGTAAATTTTGGAGGTTTGAAAAGGGGCTTGTATATTAGTATATACAATGTTTGAAATAATATTTTAATAGGTCATTAAGAAAAAAAAAGAATTTATATTTTCGAAACACACTTGATCTATATTAATATAAATTATTAATAGATGAAACCATGTTTTCTTGATCGAATAAAATGTAAAAAAAGGTTCTCTGTGCCAGAAAGTAACCAGGCTTTAACATGAGGTAGAAATGTAAATTAAATATAAGAAAGTAAATACTTATTAAAATCATTTAATGCTTCAAAAAATCTGTAGTAGAGAATTATAGACTGAACAGTAATTTTGATTCGCAAGATTTATTGATAATAGTATGTATACAATGCACAAAGGCATATTGAAAAAATAAATTTCAATTCATAACAATTTTTTCCAATTTAGTGTAGTGTTTATATAATGAGGTAATAATTTATAATTCACATAAAACACGGGTTTCTTACCAGGGGGTTTATTTACATCATTTGAAAAAATCCAATCAACAGCTTTTTGACTATCTGAACCACTCAACACAAATTTTCCAAAATATGACATGTTAAAAGCAGATACATTTTCTCTGCAGTTTATACACTCCTTCCCAATCTACAAATAAAATAACTCATTAAAAGAAAGTCATTCATGTACAAAAACAAAATGTAAATAATGCAACATCAAATTTTTTTTTCTTACAAAATGATGGAGTTTTGAAAAATATTTTTTTAAAAAATGACAGAAAAAAGTTATATTTTCGTGAATTACTCATAACCAATCAAACCAATTAAAAACTTCATTGGTGCAATGAAAAATATATTTATTCTGAACATTGCGTCAAAATTTGAAGCAAATTGGTTGAAAATTGAACTAATTAGAGATACAACAAGTACAAGAAGAAACGGCAAGCTTCATGCGATGCCTCATATGTTTTTAGATAACAGCCGAAAACATGCGGTAATTTTCATTTTGAGAATATTCTTTGGCCATTGAGCCAACAATCAAAGAATTTTTTCATTTCTGAAAATTTTACTGTCTTGTTCACTTTTTAGAAATGTGATCAATACAATTTTCTCACAAAATAATACTAATTAATAAAACAAGAAGAAAAGTGCAAAACTTAAAACCTAAATGATAAAAAAAGTTCACACCGGTGTGAAGTACTAACTGATTTATAATAATTTAGCTATGTACTCTTCCTTTACAATAAAATAACAATATTCAATAATTTCTACATAAACTTTTGTTATAAATAATGAACTTTTAAGTAAAAATAATTGTTAAATATATAAGAGTGCATAATAAAGAATATTGAAAATCAGCATACTGTTCCATGATTCTTAGGAAATTCAAAAGTATAATCTTCTTTTAACCTCTCAATATATGCATAGTTTTTGTGTTCAGAATTGCCATAACTACCATAGTAGTCATACTCTAGGACCTACAAAAAACAAAAAATTCCTTGTATAACAACACGTTTTTCAATTTTATATCAAAAACAAATATTAAACAAAAATAAATTTATCAGAAATATGATAAACAAATCTAAAATAAAAAAATGAAAAATTGTCACAATAAAGAGTGAAAAAAAAAAGAATAACTTTTCGTTTATAACTGAAATAAAAGTAATTAATTCATAGAGACATTCACAACAAAAATTTCTTCTTACAAACACAACAACCCCTTTCAGATAGGGCCTGATTTAGAAATTTATAAACCCCAGGCATCAAATTGTTCTTAGCCCCAGTGGTCCTCAATCATTTACAAAATGTTCTTTTCCAAAATGGTTTTAAACTCTTTATAACATAAGTAAATTATAATATATTTGTAAATTTGTACTAATAATTATTTTAATATTTGTTGACCTTTAACTCTAATAAATAATTCTAAAGGAAAACCACATACAAAAAATTTACAACATTTAAGTGGCCTACAGACATTAAATTACAGACATAAAATTTTTTTAATTCACAAAATCAAAATAAAATAATAAATTTTTTTAATAAGAATGAAAATGGTTTTCTTATTAGACTATTTTTTTTTTGGAATTTTATATTCCAGTAAAAGTTTAATTTCGATAATCTAACGTTTTGATAATCATAATTTTTTATAATCAAAAAATACTAAAATATACTTTTGCTTGTAATTAGAACATCAAAAAAGTATATATATACACAAATGGGGCACTGGTGTTTCATTTGCGTGAAAGGGTCAATAGGATTCTCTTCTGACTTTCTTCAAATATATCCCAGCCACTATAATTCATAACTACAAAAGATTTCAGTGATTCATGTTTAAAAAGTTTTTACATTTTCAGAAATTAAAATTTTTTTTGCAGGCAATAAATATTTCATGTAATCTAGGACAAACTAAAACTGTATTCAGTTTAATGAGAGTTAAATGAGTTACAGTATTTTTCTCTGTAATAGGAATAGTTAAGGTATTAGAAATTCAGATTCTTTCTTTTTTTGATATTGAAAAGTTTATGATATTGAAGTTGGACTGCAAAAAATTTCTAAATGCAACATAATAAAAGAATAAACTTGCATAACTTGAAAGCATAAACTTTAAAGAAAAGAACAAACAAAAACTAATTGATATAAAAACATGGTTTGAATAACTCTTACCGGGGCTGGGCCATCACTAGAAAACCAACCAGGCCTCTCAAATCCTTGTTTTTCTTGATAAACACAGCCAGTATTTAAAAGTTCCTAGGGATAATTTAAATGAAAATATAATATTTCTTACTTCAAGTCATAAAATTACAAGCACAACTTTGATATCTGATTTATACTTGCATAATTAATGATTAAAGTCAACAATTAGAACAAAAAATACTCTCAGATCAAAATAAATCTAATTTAAATAATTAAAAAATACCATTTATTAAGAAAAAGAATAAAATACCATTTTGTAGTTATAAGAAAAAAATAAATACATTCAATATGACTCCAATAAGCTTTTGGTTTCTTTTTAATATTGATTTAAAAAAATCTAAAAAAATTTTTTTTAAATAGACGTATAAGTTTAAAAATATTAAAAACAATAAAAATGTTTCGGAATTATAAAATAAATTCTAAATCTTTCACATTTTCAAAACATGAATAAATACTATAAATACATAGTTTGAACAAATAGTTTGAATGCATGAAAGAAGTTTCAAATCTAAAAAAATTAAGTTTAATAAGAGAGGAAGTTCATGATTGTCAGGGTCACGTGATGTAATAACACGCATTTTCTGATGTTGCGAGCTAAAAGCTTGATATTATAGATATGATAATTTTTTCTTGTTTTGGTTTTTTTTGGAACAATGGATGAAAAAGAATAATAAAATGGTGAATTAGTTTTTGTAGAATTTTGCGTTATTTCTTTTGTAAAAGGTTACGACTGACAATGATGATATAATTAAAAATCTTAAATAAATTTTTCTTCACCTTAAATAATTAAATTCATCTTAGATAATCATCTTAAATAAACTACTTTTTCAAATAAGCTATTTCGCAATAATATTTAGAAAAATTGAAATATAAATTATTTAGTAATTTACATTTTAATGTTCTAAAAATGATTGCAATTTTGAGAAGTTCGGTCAATTGATTTTTAAAACTAACTACAGATTTAAGTAATTACAATTTCGAAAATTTTAATCACAAAGGCAGAATTTTTCAAAAAGAGAAATTATTTTACATCAAATAAGAATAAAATCAACCAAGAGAATTAAAGTGAAATAATCAAACACATTTGAAAAAATCTTTTAAGGGAAAAGAAAAATATGTACTTTAATATTAATGAAATAAAACCTGACAACAAATATTTATTTATTTAAAAATACATAGTATAATGCCAAAATGACAATTATTAATACTTTACAGGCTTTTTTTATGCTATTGTTATTTATTCTGAATTTTAAAAAAATAAGCTCGAATTAAAAGATCATTTATGGAATCTATGTGGTTTCTACCTAACAATTTTAATGTTCTTAAAAACAAATTAAAAAATCTCTGTTGGATAATTTTTAAAGATCATATGGATAAAATAAAATTAATTAAAAAAGTACCAGCATCATTCTTTAATTGAACTGTAGATAAAGAATTAATAATGACTGATACAATCATTTCAAGCTTATACTACTTATTCTATAGACGTTAGAAAATCCTAGGAAGCATACCTCATGAAAAGCGTCCTTTATCATATTACGTGATGCCAGAGGCTCATCATGCGGATAGACAATAGAATAGTTTTTCACATATGATTCATGACTACGTTCTTTAATCCATTTGGAATTGTCAGTCAATTTTTCAGTAAAACGTCTATTAGGAACAGATAATGTGCATCATTGATAGTGTAAATTATTTGCATTTGAATTCAAATAAACGTTTTTTAAAATACATATTTTTTAATAAGCAGAAAAGAAATATAGTATACATATCTTAAAAATATTTAGCATTAGGATTTTTAACAAAACATTTGAATAAATTGAATTGAATTCATAAGCTGATGGTAATAAAAGTGGTAATTGTGAGCCCAACTCAAATTTCCTGAAAATTTCTTGAGTAAAATCATTAATGACGCATTTCAAAAAAGTAAGGTCTTTATAAATTTAAATCATTGATATTTTCCAAACATGAAATTCTCAATAAATTATATGCAGCATAATTTAAATGAATAATTATTTATAAGTTTACTTTTATCTCCAATCACATTTATTATTCTACCAGAAAAAAATATTTACAAATGAAAGAGATGCCCAAGAAAAATTCTAGTTCTAATATTTTGAAATAAAATATGCAAGAATTTTTATACATAAATGTGATCGATGATTTCTTGAAACTTCTGGACCTTCAATATCTGGAAACTTCCGGATCATGGTTAGCGAAAAAATCCGGAATTATTCCGGAGCACAATCATCTCTGATTTATAAAAAATTTAAAACTAAAAAAACATTTATAAGTTATTATATAAATTAAAAAGAAAAAACTATACAAATACCCAGAACTGACTTATGTGTAAATAAAATATTTTTGTACAAAAATGAATAGCTATACAATGCAATATTAGTAAACAAAGATTTATAGATAATAAAAAGAGAAAACAAAGATTGGAACTTTTGAAGATTCAGAGCACTCAGTTGATTCAACCAAATTGCTCTGGACTGTCCTACCACTTCATAAAATCCATCTCTTTTATCTCTGCAACCGGTTACGACTGCATGGGAGAACACTTGTATTGATTACGTATATATGACCATCCCGATTTTCGACTATCTCATTCTAAAGAAACCGGTCTTTCTTTTACTTCTTGTGATTTCTTCTTATGTTTATTGTACTTCTTTGTTATATTTGTCTGTTTTCCCTGCCATTGAAAATAAAAAAAAATAAAAAAACTTTTGACGATTCTTATTCTGTTGCAAGTAATAGTGTTGCAATATGAAGCTAATGCTAGATTGCAATTTAGTATAATTTGTGCTTAAATGCAGTTTATTGCACTATAATTCTAAGCAACTATTTAATAAGGGAAAAAATAATACCTGATATCATAATTAAACATATCAAGTTCAGGTCTTCCATGGACAATCCAACGGGCCAATTCGCGACCGCACCCACCACCAGAATTCATGCCTAAGCTGTTAAATCCACAACCGTGATAAAATCCTCGTACAGCAGGATCTTCTCCCATAAGAGGTTTATGATCTGGTGTAAATGATTCTAGAAAATGACGAAAGGTATGATTTTAGATATGAGTAATTACTCATAAAAACATTTGAAAACAGTTTAAAACTCTATGAATTATGAATAGCATGACTAACAGGATATTATATAGGATTGTTCAGATTTTAAAACCAAAGATGCGAAAGGTAAAATTGAGATCACAACACAGACTTTTCACCAAATATGAAAACTAATTCAATTCAAAGCACGGTTAATACACAATTGAAATAAATTTATTTCGACTCTGAATCTAGCACTTTAAAAAATTACCATAAATTTAAAAATGTAAATCATGGGACCATTTATTACTTTCTGTTCGGAAAACAAAACGTAAGTAAGGAACTTGCTTGCATTTAAAAAATGTATTATTACAATAAAATCAATATATTAATGAAAAATCAAAAACAATAAAAGCAAAGAATTAGAAATGTAGTTCTGATTGAAAAATAAAAGACCAAAGTAGAATAAATTGATAGTTTTGATTCATTGGAGCTTCAAAATTTGAAATTTAATAATACCAACAGATAAAAGAAAATACAAGGTCCAGCACGGAAAGTTCTAGTACACATAGAAATAAATACATAACTGTATAATAGAAATCAGATTATCCAAAATTTTGTAAATGCTTTTTACTTTAGCAAATTACAATAAATTTATAAATGTAAATGATGGGATCATTTATTACTTTTTGATCGGGAAACAAAATGTGAGTAAGGAACTTACTTGCATTTAAAAAATGTATAATTACAATAAAATAAACATATTAATGAAAAATCAAAATTAATAAAATAGCAAAGAATTAGAAATGCAGTTCTGATTGAAAAATAAAAGTCCAAAGTGGAATAAATTGATAGCTTTGATTCATTAAAGTTTTGAAAATTGAAATTTCATAATACCAAAAGAAAAAGAAAATACAAGGTCTATCAAGGAAAGTTCTAGTACACACAGAAATAAATACAAGTTTTTGCCCAATTGCAATCAAGAAGTTGCAATACAGTAATTCCCCTCAAAAGGACAACCAAAAATTACAGTCTTAGTAAGGTTTATTTCTCTTTTTTTTTTAAAGAATATGAATAAAATTAATTTTATGTATTCAAATTTTAGCCAAAACATAAATAGATTCATATTTGACAAGTACATTAATTAATTTCACATGTCAAATGCTGTAAAAAAACCACAGAATTCTCACATAGCTATGTGTTATTCTTAAAAATATATATAGGTATTTAAATGACAATAGCTAAAGACCATATCCTCTTAAAAAAATTTTTTTTTTACATAAATTCAAATAAATTATAAATCAAGAAAATAAAAATTTTATTTTATTATTATGCCCAACAAATAATTATATAAAAATAATCGTAATACACCAAAATGAGATTTTTTTTAAAACTAGAAACACATAATATAATAAGGAGCAACATTAAAAAAATTGACCAAAGGAAAATAAAAACAATATCAGGATATGGAAGAAAAAGAGAAAGCAAATTGTGTTTAATTAATTAAAGAAAATCAGGTAATTAGCAGGCAATAAAATTGAAATATAAGAAACTAAAAAAAAAAAAAACATTCAAATAAGTATTTAAGTTTGAAATAAATAAAAGCTTTGGAGGGAACAAAGGAAAACAAAACTTTGTTTAATAAAAAGCGAAACTAGTCTAAATAAGATTGAGATTGTAAGTGCATGAACACACACAAAATAAACAAAGCAACAGGCAAAACAATTTTGTGAAGCAACAGAAAAGAAATGTTAGGACTAAGAGGGGAAAAGTTTCTCCAGTGGATAAACGCTTCAAAATCGGTCACTAGGTAATAAGATTTTAATGTAATAATAAATAATAAAATGTAATAAGATTAAATGAATAAAAAATAAATATTCAATAAATTAGAATCATATAAATAAAAAAACAAAATTAGAAGGGAAAAAAATTCAGATTTCGAATAACTAATAAGTTAGACTAAAATTGTTTAGGACGAAGAAGGGAAAAGTTTTGTACACTAATGGATAAAATCTTTAAATTTGATTACCAAGTAATAACATTTAAATGCAGCAATAATGTTAAATGAATAAAAAATAAATATTCAATAAATAACAAACATCAAAAATAAAAAAATTAAACAAATTATATAAAAAAAATAGATATTGAAATTTTAAATAACTAATACATCAGAAAATTTTTTTTTTTGTTGCAAAACATAGTCACCAATCTAAATAAGATTTGTACCGACATGAAACACACAAAATGATAAAAAGCAGTCAATAAAATCATTTCTTGAAGAAACCGAAAAGAAATGTGAGAGGATAAAGAAGGGAAAAAAGAGAGTGAGTTACGCATACCAATGGATGAAAGTTTTAACAATGATTACCAGGTCCGCACACGGTAGATTTTATGCCTGTTCTCTCTAAGGCCGGGACTCTGTGCATTGATTTTTCCAAGTGAGTTCCAAAAACATCATAGTCCAGTTCAAAGAGTCCAAATGCAAAATTTTTATCAACCTAGAAAATAAAAATAGTGAACTTAATTGCAATTATTCAAATTGGGAGTTAAGTAACTTACTTATTTAGATAAAAAAAAAAAAGAAAACAATGTATACAGGATTGAGAAGAAGAAAAAAAAGAAAGCTTAGATTTTAATGCAATAATTGCCCAACACAACTCCTAGTGTAGCATCCCATCCCATCAAGAAATCAATAAAAGAAATATGAAATAACTATTTTAGAATGATTATAAATTTAAATACTAACCATGCCATCCCATCTAGAAATAAATAAAAGAAGTATGAAATAACTATTTCAGAATTATTATAAATTTAAATGCTAATAAATTTTTAATTGAAAATTAATACGAAATTAAAATTGATAATTTAAAAAATGAAATTTTTTATAAATTAATTGGTCTCATGGTCGAANGCCAAGCACCGACTACATAATGAATGTACTGTTTTCCAGGCTGAACTTTTGTGTATAAACCTGGTTGTTAAGTGGATACAAAATTCTTTTAGTGAAAACCAAATTTTTAAATATCTCATTTGTACAGATTCTCTTTCTTCACTTTTTCTTTTGCGTGACACGACTTCTACTGAGAAGCTTGTGGTGGAAATTCACTTGATTTTGAACGCTCTTGCAAACGTAACTATTCATTTTTCTTACGTTCGTGGCCATAGCGATATTTTGGGCAATGAAAGAGCAGACCAATTGGCTAGGGAAGCTACGTGTGGTGAAATAGACTTAAGAGTGTCTGTTCCAGCTTCTCACTGGAAGCGCATCGCTAGAGATAAAATCATTGCAAACTGGAATGCTGAATTTCTTGCTTCGCCTCGGTTGCTTTGGACGAAAAGGTTCTTTCCATCCATTTTTCACCGCTTGCAATGTAAATTCTTTGCAACTGATTTTAAATTGACCCAAATTTTAACAAACCATGGAAATTTTAAGAGATATTTACTTCGTTTCCATCTGCAGCCCAGTAGAATTTGTGCTTGCGGTGATGCTGATGAAGATGCTAAACATATTCTTCTTCGTTGTAGTCTGCATGCGAGTGCCCAAATGAATTTAAAGACTGATTTGAGACGTCTTTCTATTTGTTGGCCACCTGTCTTGTCAGAACTGGTCAAAAGTATTGAAAGTCTTGTGGCCTTGCGGAATTTTGTTTTTAATGTAAATTTTTCTTCTTTTTTTTTTCTACTTACAACTTTAAGCCTCATGCTATACTTTGTGGTGCATGAGGAGTTTTAAGTCGTTTAAATAAAAAAAAATAAACAAATGACTAAATAAATAAATAAAAAAAAAAGCAAAGAAAATTAGTAAAAGCTGACTTTAAAAATGTAAAAATGGTGTTAAAAGTGTCTATAAAAAAACTCTTTTCAAATAAGAAATTTTAGATACAGTATTCTGAAATTAGTTTATATCTAATAGAATATAAGAGAGGAAAAAACTATAAATGTAACAAAATATACAAACATTTTCCCAAAAAATGGGGTTTGATTCATAACCACCAACAGAAAGTGCGTCACCTTGCAACCTCAAATAAACAGCTAAGTCATGATCTCTGGTGTTTGGCATATTTTGAATTCCTTCAATTTTATCAGTTACGATGTAAGCATGTTTCATAGCAATCAAAGGAACTTTAACACCAGCCATTTTACCAAGATATGGTGCCCAGACACCTGCATAATTATTGAACAAAAAATAAATACTAATAATAAAATGCATTAATATAATTTATTTTATCATAAAACAAAATGATATTAGGAACACACATTTTAGAAGATACAAATTTTTATTTCATTTCATTTTTAAAGTTACTAGGCCCGAGTTTATATTGTGCTCATGTATTATTATTAGTTATTTCCTTAAAGCAGTGAAAAATGAAATGATATTTATTTTTTCTAGTATTTAATTCTAGTATTTTCTAGTATTTAATAAAAAAGTAACATATTAAATTAAAACTGATATTTCAAAAGCATTGATTTTTTGAACATTGCAACTTTATTTGATTGAAGTTTTTTTAGTAACTTTACCTGAAAATTTTGTACACATACTTTTGTAAATATTTTAAAGGTTCCAATTTACAGCACTTTTAATAAATGGAACAAAATAATAAAAATTGATTTTTCAATGTGAATGTTTGTTGTTTTTATGTTAAAAAAACCCCTTTTTTTAACATAATAATTTTACCAGTCATTAAAAAAAGCTGCATTTTTTTCAATAATTCAATGTTTTAACCATTGATAATTAAACATAAACCCATGTTTGAAATAAATTATTAAATTCATAGACAAGGAAAGCATATTTAAATTTTTTTTTAGTTATTTTGAATATATTATCATAATTTAAGAGAATATGTTTATTTAAATATAAAAAATAAATAAATAAAAATTTATAACATTAATAGATATTGAAATTTAAAAAGCAATCTTAACTTTGAAAAAATTGCAGAGAGCAGTAGTTAAATGATTAGTTATATAAGGACAATTTTTTTAAGTTCAAAAGTTTACGTTTTTAACAATAATCAATAATGCATTGGACTTTTCAATTACAGGCTTCATACTTCAAAATATCGCTATTTTAGCGCTGATTTCAGCTTACTATGCTATCCTTGTTATAATACAATTTTTGGGACAATATATGAGCTACGTTTTTTAAAGATGTCATTTTAAATCAAACTCAGCTTTTAATATTTTTTCCAGATAAGTTTTTTTACAAGTTCTTAGAACTTTTATTAAATAACAACTCTTCAGAATCCTACTGCCTTCATGGAAATTGAGGTGCTTTTCATTAAAAAAACCCAATTTGTTTGCTCTAAGCGGTCCAATTGTATAAAAAATTTAATTCACAAAATAATGGTTGTGCTAAGGAGCTAGACACTAAATCTATACAAAAATTGAATTAATATATGGATCAATCACTAAGAAAATAATGATGAGAAAGGGCACGGCAACAATTTAACCCTCTAAGTGGAAATTAAATCAATTAAATAGTTTAATTATAAACATATATAAAACAATATTTTTTAAAAATTATATTTCATAAAAATAGTTGCTTAGCTATTGTTAAAGATTGACAGGTCGCAATGTCTTCTTTAGCAACTTATTGCTTCTAGCAACATATAATTAATGTGCTGAAAATCTGCGATTTAATAGTTAAATTATCAATGTATATAATAATTTAGTAATTTAAGCAGTAATTAGAAGTCATTTAACAGTTGAATTACTGCTAATAGTTGAATTCTCAAGGATTGTAAAGAATTTCAGGTATTTTAAAGAATTTTAATTCAAAAATAATTTAAAAAAACAATAACAAAAACTAACCGGTGCAGTTTACAACACAATTTGTTTTCACAGTACCAGTTGGAGTGCTCACAGCAGTAACTCTTTTTGTACCATAATCATCCTCAGATACATGAATATCAGTCACTGGGCATTTTTCAAAAACCTAGAATGAATAAATAATTTTTTATTTTAGTTTAATAAAAATTAACCTAAAATAATTAGAAATGCTGATTTTAGCTTTAAATGTTTAGGATCAGAAATTAATTATTAGAACAATATTTTACCTGAAATAGAAAACAAATCCACGCCTGAGTATAAAGCCTATAACGGGTTATGAAAGCTTTTTTAAGTCAAAGTTAATTTTCAGAAAAACTAAATTCCTGTTGTAAAATAAAACCTTTGTTAGACGCAATTTGGTCTAAGGATTTGAGACATCATAGACAAAATAATCAACTATTAGAATATTTTACTTCAAATTAAAAAAAAAATTATGTCTGCCAATAAAGCATATTACAGGTTACGAAATTTTTTTAAGTCACAGTTAATTTGCAAAACAACCAAAGTCTTGTTGTAATATAAAACACAGACCCATTTTGCTCTATAGCTCTGAGACACTGTTATTGACAAGATCGTCAATTATTAAAATATTATACTTGAAATTAAAAAATAAATAAATAAATAAAAAATGAAATATTAGTTCTATAAAATATCTTCTGTTACAAATTTGCAAAATAAGTGTGTCAATTTTGTTCCATCCTATTGTTCAGTCCACAAAAATATGCCCCAAATTTTGGCACGTAATAGAAGTATTTTTTTTAAATAAAATTCTAATTTTTTTTTTAACTATAGCTGTTACTTACATTCATCTATATGGTCATATAATGTTAACAAGAAATGTATCAAAATAAATCAGTTTTTTCAAAAATATTTCGTCAATATCTTACTTTAGCTCCAGCTTTGGCAGCTCCCCTAACAAGTGAAACACAAAAACCGGCTGGATCAACGGTTCCATCACCAGGACTGTACAAAGTTCCATACAAATCTTCTGTATTCATCAGAGGATAGAGTTTCTTTGTCTCAGCTGGAGTAAGCAAATGAGACTCTATGCCAAATGCTTTACCAATCTGTGAGATATAAACAAAGCTTTAATTTAGACTATTACGATTGAGGAATTGCTAATATAAAATTAATGTTTGTATAATTGCGACATATCAAGGAAAAGATATTTAAGGAGGTTTAGATAGAGTTTCATGATCTTTGAGACGTTTTTATTGAAATTTTGATTTGATAAATTTAATTTCAGATCTGTTTTTACTTAAATTAGATTTTTTATAAGTTGTTTTTATAAGTTCTGTTTATAATAAGTTATCTATTTAAAACCATATTACTTCATAAAAATGGTAATATAATTAAAATTTAATAATGGAAAGAGATTAGCATGTCATTTTAATTTTAACTATTGAAGAAAATGACAAAATAAATAAAACAAAATAAGTTGTCTTATATGAGCAGAAACTTACTTTAATCAAAGTTTAATAAATATTTTTACACAGACTTACTTAACTTATTAATTTTTTTTAAAGAAAAAAATTAATTAGAAAAATAGAAATCAAATTTTAAAAAAGTCGCTTATTTAAAATGTGATTTTCAGGTACTATTTGATTGATTTGTTCGAATTTTCTATTTTGCCATGTAAAATTTCCCTCTTTAAAATGATATAAGGAAATTGCATGCTTTGCAATTCGAATTTTTCCACTATTATTAAATAAAATAATAAATTATTATGAAAAATTATTTTTTGGACCAAGCTATCCTTAAATAAACAAATTTTATAATTGCATGCAAAAAATTTTCAATCCAAGTATAGGATCATTAGAATAATAGTTATTCAGAATGTTTGATTTCTTTTTCACTGTGTGAAATAGTGCCCATATTACAATTGTGCAGAAGAATTTGTCCCGGAAGCATACAGTAACTGCTAAGAGCCAAAAAACGTTTTCATTACAATTTTACTTTTAAACTTTATACACTATTTTGTAAAAACTGTATAACACTACTACGAGTCAGTTTTTCAAATTCTTCTTAGTAACTACATTATAATTACTATATATAGTGCACTGTTTGCATTTTGGTTTTAAAATTATTGTATATTATTTTGTGATTCTAAAATTGTTTCCTTTATAAAAACTAAGAAAAAGTGAAAAATGTTCCGTAAAAGAGTACAAGATTTATTCCATTCAAGTCTATACTCGAAAATACTTCATTTTCGACTTTAAACTGAAAATCTTTTTAAATGTTGGCATATTGCAAGTAGGTACCAACCCACAAATAAGAAGAGAAAAAAAAAGTAAAGTAATAAGTAATTTTACAGTCATAAGCCTCTTGTATTCATTCAATCTCTCTTTAGAATTGGCAATGAAAAGACCTCCATTGTTAACCCATCCAGGATGAACTCCCGTTTCTTTTTCAAGGACATCATTCAGAAGGTGGCGAGTATAATTTAAAATTTGTATGTCTGTGTCACTAGGTCTTAATCTCCAAATCAAACCTATAGTTTCAACAAAAACATTTCATAAATGTTTGAAATCATAATATAAGACATTCAAAGTATGGTTATGATAAACTAGAATTGGTTACAATTAAACAAAATGCAACATAAATCAATAATATAGTATAAAAAGAATCGGTTTTGATCCTTTGAAAAATAGTACTTGAAATAACTAAGAGTACAAATTTAAACAAACTAAACTCATGTGTTACATTATAAATCATGCAGTATTAATCAATATGATCTGGTGTATTAATATGCTCATGGTTTAGAAATTATAGAGAGAAAAAAAATCAGTTGCATCAAAAGCTTTGAGAAATTTGCTTTAAGCAAATTGGAAGGGGAAAATAGGGTAAAGGTTTTTTAAAATAGTAATAATTAAAACATAATTTTTATTAAATAAATTAAATATACACACTGTTCAAAAAATGAAAAGCAATTTAAAGTTATTTGTATATTAGTGATAACTACTTGTGAATTTTTACTTTGTAAGGATTAAGACCTCTCAAATCATGTTATAGGATGAATAAAGCATGGTGATGATAACACAATGGCATAAAAAAATTTACATGCTATATAACTAACCAAAAAACTGGATTAAAATAACACATCTTATAATTATTTATTGATATAATCATGTATGCTCCAAGAAGAAGAAAAATAACAAAAATATTTAATTAAAGAAACTCACACTGTATTATTATTATTATTTTTTGTTTTTATTATATAAACTGCTAAATACACTCTATAACAAAAAAATCGACACACCAAGAAGGAGTTGTCCGATTGAAACGAAAATTGGTGGATAGGAAGACAATGTACAGAATAGTAAATGATTAAAATTTCAGAACAATTGAATAATTTATTGCAGAGTTACAGTAACAAGTCCAATAAGGTGTTGACCCGCCTCTAGCCTGGATACAAATGCCTCTAGCCACACAGCGTGGCATAGACCGATAAAGGTCCCGGATGGTCTCTTGCGGTATTTCCTGCCAAATTCGATCCAGTTGTCAAATGAGGTCATCAACATTCCGTGCTAGATGCAATCGCCTTCCCATCATATCCCAGACATGCTCGATGGAAGAGAGATCTGGTGATCTGGCAAGCTTGCAGACAGTTCACAGCAACACGTGCCGTATGTGGTTTGGAATTGTTTTGCTGAAAAACCAGCCCAGGGAGCTGCAAAACGAACGGTAGCAAAACAGTTCTTAGGATGTCGTCGACGTACCGCTGTGCAGTAAGTGTACCTCTAATGACGACCAAAGGGGTCCGGCTGTCAAAGGAAATGGCAGCCCAGACCATATTGCCTTGCTGAGGCCCGGTGTGGCGTGCAATTGTGAAGGCAGGATCCCCTCTCTGCCCAGTGAGTATCCCAACATGTCTTCAATGATCGCCAGGACACAGTTGGAAGCGGGATTCGTCGCTAAAGACTATACGTCCCCAGTCGGCATCATTCCAGCCTGATCGAGCGTCAATTTTGCGCGTCTTAGTGCGTCTATTTTTTTGTTATAGAGTGTAGATTAAAAAAAGGTTTTAAGATCAAATAAATATAGTAGGCTCCTGACTAACTAACCTCTGTACTATTGGATCTAGAAAAAAAAAGAAATAATGGGATTAGCTTTTTATAAATCTCATCATGAAAAGTGGAGGAAGAAAAGACTGTCTTCTGTACATTTTAACTCATCCTAATTATAACTTTCCACATCTGTGTAGTAAATTAATAACCATTGAGCGAATTTTTGTATTAATTCTTTATCTAAAAAAGTAAAACATGTGATTTTAATTATATGGGTAGTGTAGGAAGTCAAACTTCACCTTATCCGGGTTATTTTTGTATCTAGCCTAGCCCATCGCTATTTTAGCCAGATGTCTATCTTACACATTCTATTCTTAACACCAAAATAATCAACAAAAGGCATTGCAGAGTCTTAAAACAATGTATTCTTGTCATGAATGAGGAAATGACAATCGTTGAAGCATACTGATGGACAGAATGTTTTTTTACAATAATACTATACTAGTGTTCTTTAAATGGTCTATAATGGTAGAATTTTAAATATCAAAGCAATGTTACCGAAATTTAAAACCAAGAGCTTGTAAATAAAACCAAGAACAATAAAATATGTTCATGTATATTTAAAACAAGGATATTAAACATTATTAAAGTTTAGGATATTAAACATTATTAAAGTTTAAAGAGATATTTGAAACACAGAAATAGGTTATAATTTTTGTAATATTAGTGATATGATATACTAAGCAAAACTAAAGAATCATGGTTGTTTGTTGAATCTAAAATAAATTTCGTTGTGCAGAGAGTAAATGAGAAAAATATTTCAACCCTAGATCACTTAACTGAAACCAGTGTTTAACTCTGACAAGTAATTTTACTCATGAACTAAGACTTAATTATGTCAAACAGCTTGAAGCAAAAGCTCTTAATTTTTTTGAATAAAATATATGAAAATTTTTTTGGTGTTATAAATGCGGATAGCTTATGGAGACAATAACATAATTTTGAACTATAGAGGCTATTCAAGGAAGCTGATATCAACAAATACATCAAAATAAGTTGCTAAAAGCTTGCAGGTCACATCTGTCATATGATTCCTTTTTCTTTGACACTTAAGATCCTCAATTACAAATAAATGGGAATTTTCATTCAGAAAAGGGGACTTTGAGTTTTGAAAGAGCACTCACTACACCGTAAAAATTTATTAAAATGTGATACATTATGTAATAACTGAATTTTACCTCTACAATTCTTAAATCAAACTCCTATTCTAATTTATGTGTTTACTTCAAAAATAATTCTTTCTCATTATCAAAATACGAGAAAAATTTGTAGTTTATACAAATAATTAAAGGCAAGCTAAAAAAACAATCTTGGTGCATATTTTTTTCAAAAATTAAACTAACAAAAAATGATTAATTGGTAAGCAACTTGAAAGCTTTTTTCTACAATTTAAACTGAAAATTATGAGAAAATGAACAATTAAATGTGCATTTTTTTAAAGGTATTTATTTAAAAAATAGTTTTACAGTTTAAAATCACTTAAAAAATTCATTAATATCCCCTCTCCAAAAAAAGTTACTTATAAAAATTTAACCAGTTGAGAATAATCCTAATAAATTATTATTGGTAATAGTAATTAGAAATAAACCCATGAACATAGATAATTTTACTAGCATGTAATTATTATTTAAGCAGTGAATTATTTTTTTTTTCAAAATGGAATAAGAATAAAAAGGCAGTCTCTTCAACGGACAGCGGCTTATTTTTACAAAAAGGGTAAAGAGGGTGCATTTCCTTGGATCAAAGGGTAAGCAGGGCGGGCCGTCCTACAAAAAATTCTTCAGGAGAACACTGAACTATTAAGTAAGGACAGCTAAAAAAAGTTAATAAGTAAGAATGTTATACAAAAATTTAGTTAAAAATAATATTCAAGATAGAAAAGCATCCTCACCAGCTGTGTGCCATGTAGTTCCTGCAGTGAGCTGATCTTTTTCAAGTAATATCGCATTTGAACATCCCAATTTCGTTAAATGATAAAGAGTACTGCAACCAATAATGCCACCACCTAAAAATAATTCTAAATTCAGTAAGAGCGCTTTATACACTAATTCACATTCTAAATGAATTAGTGTATAAAGCACATTATTGTTAAGATTACACTGAAAATGTTTTAAATAAGATATTTTTAAATAATGTTGATGCTGGTTTTACAAATTTTTTTTATTTTTCAAACTAAAAGTTTACTAAATAAGTTGTATATTCTTAATACATTTTAATATTTCGTTGTAAAAATCCAAATAGTATGCGAATAAATGTTTGAAAAAGTTATATGACTTTAAGGATAACAAAAAAAAAATTCAATTTATTTAATTCAAAAATGAATTAAATAAAAAATAAAAGAAGTCACTATAAAAATTACACACAAAAATACGAATGATTTAAATTTATTGCAAGCAAATATATTTATGTTAGATGTCAAATTATCAAATATTTGTCAATTTAGAATAATAATCATACCTTTGATAATTAAAAAAAATTTATAAATATTTTATAATTAATAAATATGGGATATTTCCGAAAAAATTAACTCAATAATGAAGAAACCTACCTAATAAATGCAGTGATGAAATAGATTAAATGCTAACTATTTAGTAAACAGATTTAGTTTTAAATTTTTGATATTAACTAAATAATTAAAACTTTGATAGTCAAAAATAAGTTTTACGCATTTAATAATTTAAGTTAATAATTGCTATAATTAATATTAAACAATATAATTTGCCTATAAAAAAATTCATATTTCAAAAAAATTACCTCAATAATCAAACAACATAGCTAATAAATGGATTGAAGAAAGAAATTAAATGTAAATCATTTAGTAAGCAGATAATTTTTTTTTTAAATCTTTGATATTGAACTGAATAATTGAATCTTTGACAATCAAAAATAAGTATCACACATTTTAATAATTCAAGATAATAATTATATTTAATAATAAATAACATAACTTGCCAATAATAAAAATGGCATATTTCTGGAATGATCAATAATTAAGCAGAACCTAATAAAAGCATGGAGGAAATAAATTAACTGTAAATTATTTAGTAACCACATTTTTTATAAAAATCTTTGATATTAAACTGATTATTGATATTAAACTTATTTTGATACTGATTATTGATTAAACTTATTATATTGATATTTATAATCTTTGTTATTAAACTGATTAAAGAGAAGTATCACACATTTAATAATTCAGAATAATTAGTATGGATATAAATCAGAATTATCAAATATTTGATAATTCTGACATCAAATATTTCAATAGATCAAATATTCAAGATAATAATTATTACATACATTTAATATTAAATGATATGAAATTATATAACTTGTCTATAATAAGAAATGGCATATTCATATATATATATAAAATGGTATATTTCATATATATATCTATGAAATGTATTGAAGAACTAAATTAAATGTAAATTATTTAGTAACCAGATTTTTAAAAAAAATCTTGATGTCAATGAATTTTTAATAATCAAAAAAAAAGTAACACACATTTATAATTCAGAATAATCATTATGCATTTAAATCAGAAAAATTATCAAATAATTGATAGTTTAAGATAATTATTATATTTATTAAATGATATAACTTGCCTATAATAACTACATCTGCAGAGTTAGGAAGAGATACAGGCGTAGTTACATCCTTGCTTTTCAGGGATTTATATGGTACACCACTAGGAGCAGCATTACTTGAGTACAAATGTACACTTGAAAATGCCTTTGAAAACTTTTTCAAAATCTTAATATTCTGAATTAGACCCATAATTTAATGTTTAACCTGAAAGAAGTATTGTGGTAAAATTTTTTTTTTCTTTTTATGTTATAAGAAAAGAGAAAACAATAAATAAAAATCACTAATTTTTAAAAAATATAATCAAGAGGTATTAAGTAACACAAAATGGAATATATACTAAAAAAAATCTTAATGCTTAATAAATATATCAGAAAATTATAAAAAATGCAAGAATTTATCTACTTAAGAGAAAAGCAAGTAATAAAGTTTTCAAAACATTTTAAGAAATGTAATGTATTATTTTTGTAACAAAAAATGCTAAAAAAGAATAATTTGCATAGTTACTCTCTAGCATCATCTGGAGTATATTAAATTTAATCAAAAGAAAATCTTGACTTTTCCAAAAAACTGATAAGTCTGGAGTTTTGAAATATTATTTGATAACCGAAGAAATTTTTACAGATAAGGTAAAATTGACATTAAAAACACAAGTTGTTGTCAAGTGGCAAACCTCTTTCTTTGCAATTATCCAACAATCAAAACTTACATAACAGAAGACATCTACGAATGTTTCGAATAAATTTAGTTATATTTTGTTCTAATTTATCTATTTTTCCTTTTTGAATAATTTTTGTATACCTAGTTTTACTATTTATTTGCAAAGTATGATGACTAGCGTGTTATTTTTGTTTGTAAACATTCAACTGGTGTCGCCATCTATGAATAAGTTTAAATACTAATATGTGACATGAATTAAGGTGTAATTGACTCTTCTTTCAGAATACGAAAATCATTTCCTTTATAAGAAGTGAATTATCCTAAGATGTGTTTATTATCAAAGGACATCATTTATGCAACATATTAAATCTTGACAACTATGAAAAATTTGCAGTGTTGCTGAAGTCTAAGAGTATTTTTGATGAGCGAATCTTTTTTAAGTCTTGATTGATTCTATAATTTAGGAATTAAATATTAAGAACGTACTATAATTATATTGTCTATTCATCATTATATTCTCTCCGGCTGCTTTGTGCTTAGGAGGCAGCAAACTGGATCCTTTACCTGGGCCACAAAAAATTTGTTAAATTCAAGAGTACATTAAATTTAAGTATTGAAACAATTTACAATATTTTAATATTACAATATAATTAAATTATATTTATAATTAATTCACAGTGATACATGGTTATAAGTAAAGCCCGGATTTTGATGACCTAAAAAATCTCAACTAATGCCCTTAAAAAGTGCAAAAAATGCCCTTAAAAATGNATTCTCTCCGGCTGCTTTGTGCTTAGGAGGCAGCAAACTGGATCATTTACCTGGGCCACAAAAAATTTGTTAAATTCAAGAGCACATTAAATTTAAGTATTGAAACAATTTGCAATATTTTAATATTACAATATAATTAAATTATAGTTATAATTAATTCATAGTGATACATGGTTATAAGCTTGTAAGATTTGAAATTTTTTATTTTATTTTGTATCACTTCCTTTTTCAATCTATCAGAATGTATATTGCAAGGAATTTTTAAATGGAGTCGATACTTTTTTTCTTCGTAAAAAGCTTCTAAAATCAGAAGCATGGCACAGTCTTTACAAATAGTTTAACTTTGGAAAATGAATAACTCTCAGACACTCTCTTATATGTTTAAGGTTTTCATTTAACAAGATAAATTCCCATTTAATCAGAATCCAATTTAATGATAAATTATTTTTATAAAAATAGAAAGAAAAAAAATGGATCCGAGAAAAAAAAAAAAGAGAGAGATATCAGTTTTAAAATTATAACATTCACTAGGATGTAATAATTTTTCAATACAATCGTGCCAATACAAAAATCTAACCAGCTTGAGCAAGATGATACTAAACAAAAACAAACATTTTATGTATAATTTTTATGTAACTTTTTGTGATGTAGCAAAATTTCATTAAAAAAATCCAAACATTTCCAATAAAGCTTTTTATTATNTTTGCCTTTCCTATATCAGTTTTAAAATTATAACATTCACTAGGATGGTATAATTTTTCAATACAATAGTGCCAATACAAAAATCTAACCAGCTTGAGCAAGATGATACTAAACAAAAACATTTTATGTATAATTTTTATGTAACTTTTTGTGATGTAGCAAAATTTCATTAAAAAAATCCAAACATTTCCAATAAAGCTTTTTATTATGCAATGAAAAATATCATACAATTCTATATCAAAGAAGCAATAAGGACACTTAAGTAATAGAAAGTATTGCAATAATGGTTTAAAAAAAAAATCAGTAAAGAAACTAGATAAACAAGGCAGTGGCGTAGTTTTAGGAGAAAAAAACCCCTCCGAAATTAAACATTACTTGATTAATGGACTCTTCACGGTATATAGGATGTAGATATAAAAAAGTTTTCATTATTCATTTTTTTGTAATTTAAACATTTAGAATATATATATATTAGAAGGAGATAAATGACAATCTCCTTCGAATATACATTAAAGCTACGCCACTGAACACAGGTCAAAATTTCAACACTCATATTTGAACTCATTCAAAATTTCTCTTTGTAGTATAATTAGATTTTTAATGCATGGCAGTAAAATTACTGAAGGCACAATTTTCTAGCACAGTAGTTCCCAACCAGGGGGAACACTCCTCTTTCAAAGGGAGGAATAAAGTTACTCTAATTACACTTGGTTTCTATTGCAGATCCCTTTGTATCATCAGAAAATGAAATTATGGTATTCATTCCTGATGAGAAGTTTAATTTAGTTTCTTTGTAAAATTTTTTGATCATTTGCAAGTTGAATTCTTAGACCGAAAAATAGCCTCCAAGTAAAAGATTTGTAGAAAAATCAGTGAAAGAAATTTGGTCTTAATTGCACAAGTCTTATCCAATAATGTCAGAAAGAGCTACCAGAGCATTGTTTCACATTATCTTAGCAAGTTTGAGTAAGGCTTCGCAGATGAGAATGACTTAATGAAATAAATTGAAAGCGACATGTGTTTCGCCTACTCAGTGTATCAAAGAATTAGTGACGAAAAAACAATTCCAGTCATCCAAAAAAAAAAAAAAAAAAGTTAAATCATTCAACAACAAAAAATGTGACTAAGAACATACTGGTTTGCTATACTAATATTTTTCTCTCTATTAATAGGAGAATTATTTTTTTACACTTAAATGATTAATTTGTAAACATAAAAAGAAAAACTGCATAAGTTTTGTACATCCAAATTTTCTTGCTTTTATTATTTAATTTTTAAAACATGTTATGAAATAATCTAAATCTAAATAATCTATGTATTTGATTTAGAAGGGGGAACGAAATTAACAATAGTAAAAAGGGGGGAATAAAACAAAGTAGTTTGGGAGCCAATTTTCAAGGTGAATAGATAAATTTTTATTCACTAACACACAACCTTACGGCAACCTTTTTATTGTCACGAAAATGTTTGTACTAAAAACCTTTTTTCAATGAAGCAAAAATATTGCAGTTTCAAACTTTTCATCCTAAAAGGATAAAAAAATTATTTTTAAAGCGTTTTTTAAAAAGTATTGTCACTTAGAAATAAAAGGGTCACTTAGGTCCATAATGACGTTTTAGCGGACGTCACAATAGCGATGGGATCAAATTGCATTGTCCGTTAAAATTTCAAGAGAAGGTGGATTTTAGCTGAGCATACAAGACTTTGTGAAAAGAAACCTCATAATTACCTAGATTTAAGATTATTTTCCCCTTGAGACTAGCTTTATTAAAAGATTTTTTCTCGCTTGAAAATACTAAGTCAACCTCTATTTAAGGTTTTTATATAGAAGGTTGTTTTCAAAGGATTTGGATTAGGGTAATGTGCATAGAATAGAGCAGATTGTCACAGATCTCGTTTTAAGGTTTACACATAAGCTGCATAACAAACCTTTTTAGGTTTACATTAAAAGGTTTTTGCTGAGTGAAAATAAACCTTATTTTGCTATCTGGGACAAGTGTTCGGAAAGTAACATCCAATTCAAATAATATTATGGTGGATAACTGCACAAAATTGAACTTTTAATTTCATAAAATAATTCCTTTGAGTACAAAAATGTAATATTTTGCTTAAGTTAGCAATAGGTAGTTTTATTGAAATCAAGTCGTTTATTTTGCTTTAATGAAAATTGATGAATGTATATGAGAAGAAATACAGCTTGATACATTGGTTGGTTGGTGTCGTATCCTCTATAGAATCATATTTCATGGTGTGCTTGAATAGTTTTTGTTATTTCTATGGCATTAAAAGAATACAAATCCTCTTCTGTGGGGTAGTTTAAGNATTTTTTGCTGGTTATTCATCAATCATTATTCAAAATTTTTTATACATTTGCATAATGAATGATGAATAATGACTAAATTTTCATATGAATAATCATTCTGAATAAATTTAGTCATGAATAAAATTTTCGTGAATGATGCCCATCACTGGTCACAGATCACGTTTTAAGGTTTACACGTAAGCTGCATAACAAACCGTTTCAGGTTTACAATAAAAGGTTTTTGCTGAGTGAAAATAAACCTTATTTTGCTATCTGGGACAGGTGTATGTGTGTTCGGAAAGTAACTCCCAATTCAAATAATATTATGGTGGACAACTGTACAATATTGAACTTTTAATTTCATATAATAATTCCTTTGAGTACAAAAATTTAATATTTTGCTTAAGTTAGCAATAGGTAGTTTCATTGAAATCAAGTCGTTTATTTTTCTATAATGAAAATTGATTAATGTGTATGAAAAGAAACACAGCTTAATACATTTACTTAAAAAAAAAAAGTTTGTTCAGAAAATTCCCATAGCCACAACCTTACTACAGTATATTTACATTTATTCATAAGCTGACGAATAAAACCAACAATTCGTAGATTACTAATTTTACTACAAAAATCATGCGTTCAACATAAAGTTAAATTTTTAAGGTCATATTCCATTGCTTGACTTAAATAGTAATAAAACGAGTCAAACAAACTGCAATATTTTTCTTGTTACTCATGAAAAAAAATTCTAAATCAAATTGCATTAAAATATTTACACAAAACCTTTCATTTTGATCTTGTCATGTACAGAAAACATATTTAGCTGTTTGGGTACATATCACATGAGTCATAAACAATCTTATCACATGCAATTTTGAAAACAAAAGAGACAAGTAACAGAATGTCTTCATGATTACAATTACTGATAAAATAAAAACTACTGAAAAAAGAATACTTAAATCCAGCTAACTATTTACATTTTCTAAAATAATCCAGTATCTACAAATACAGCCAGTTTCATACAAAAAAAAAAAATTCATCAGCCATATATTGATGCAATAAAATGAAAGTACTAATGTGTTCCCTATTTAAATAATTAATTTTCTAGAACTCTATTTGTAATTTTTTTCCTAAACAATTAAAGGAAAAAATTATAAATCACAAGTTGAAATTTTTAAAATACAAACACGTTTTAAAACTAATTTGATGCTAAAAGCAGATTTTTTTTCAAGTTATAAAAACCAGAACATCTTGGAATATTTACAATTCATTAGTTGAAAATCTTGAAGTGCTGGTTACTTTTTTTTGATTTTGTATTACAACTTAAATAATATAAATTATTTTTGCAGTTAGGAAAAGAAAAAAAAAATTTGTTTTGATGAAAACAAACCAAAATGAATAAGGAAAATGAAACAATAAGTATAATTTAAACAATATATAACACCTAATTCATAGATGAATTTCTGCATTTCTCTTTTTTAAATTTAAAAATAATTTTTAAATTCGAATTAATTTATATTTAGTAAACAATATAAAATTCTTCATTGATTTTTCACATTGTATTTGAAACATTTATACATTTTAAATTGAAAAAAACAAACATTTAACAGCCATGCATAATTATTATACTCAGTAAGAAAAATAGATTATAAATTTTCATGTCGATATAGATGCTAAAAATACAAAGTGCTTAAAATCAACCAGCAGAATAACGTCATAAAACAAATTCAGGTAACTCTAGGCAAGCATGTTTATTAAAAAAGGGCATTATATAAAATTATTTGCAAATAATATTGCACAAAAACAAAAGTCACATAAAATAGAATTAATAATAACAATTTTAGTTTGAACACTATACATTAAAAAAAAAAAAGAAAAAGAGATTTGATCCCTTTAATAAAGTTTTGTACATACATTTCATTTTGTAAACTGTTATTAAAAGAAACAAATATACAAATGCATAGTGAAAGTGCTAAAAGTTCATAATAAATGACAAGTCATGTCAAGTTCATTGTAAAAACTAATAGAATTAAAATTATTTCAAAAGTTCCTATTTTGGTTTATAGCTTCATTTTTCCAAGCTAGGATAATTTAAACTGATTTTTTAGGCTTAATTAAACTAAAAATAAATTTGCCTTTCCTCATGTTTACAAAAAAATTATAAGGTTTTTTTAGTAATGAAATGTTTTATGTGGTTTAAAGATTCACTGTCAGAATAAACAGAGTAAAGACTTCACACAGTTAGCAAAAATTGCTGGCACAGTTACAAATACAAACTGTATGATTTCCTATAAAATGAAAAATAACTTCTAAAACTTTTCTGAAATATTTCAAGGAGAAATTTGTTTTAGATACACAGTATTTAAAAAAAAATTACATAAAATATTATTGCCTACAATAGCTTAAGTCAATGCTAAGTAAATGATATGTATGCAAAGACAGACAAAATATTCTTTCTGATGGATATTAACGATTTTTTTTTTTTTAGACTTTTGGCACTCTGAAATATGTTCTTTTTACTCAGAAATAAAATTTCACACCATTTTGTAGAACATTGTTAAAAAAAAATTTTTTTTAAAGAAAAAAATAAATAAAAATAAAGCAACACAACATAATATGCAAGATATACTTGACTTAAAATAAAGGTATTTAAAATAACACAAATTAGTTAAAAAAAAATTGTTTAAAAATTATGCATATTAAAAGTATATGAATATTATAATTTTTTTAACAATCCCTTCTTTTAAAAATAAAACACTAAAATTCATTTCTACTTTGAAAAATCTAGTTCATAATTTGTGCAACTGGGAATAGAAAAATTGAATATTAAATATTAATAACTATTTGTAAACAATTCTAGCTCAAAAACATTAGAGTCGTATGTATAAGACACTTTTTTTTATAAAAAAATTTAAATAGTTTTATTATAAAAATTGAATATAGTTTGTACTTCAGTTTTTTAAGAATAAAAAACAGTTGGAAGCCTTAAACAAGTTGTGGCCAAACTATATATATACAGTCAGACCTCGATATAAGGTCACCCTAAGGGACATCGCAAAAGTGACATTATAAGCGGGGTGTATACACACACATATATATATGTGTGTGTTATTAAAAACATGTGTGCAATTAGCTTAGGTAAATTGTGACAAAATTGTCAAAAATGGTAAATCAAAATTTTTAATTGCCGTTTTATTTTATAGGAATTATTAGTCACCTTACATTAATAAGCATCCCTTTTAATTTTATTCCAAAATAATGTCATTTAACACATCTCGATTATATTTATGCACATATTAATTCTATAAAAATATTTTAGTCAAAAATTAAACAGCAACTTTTTCCAAGAGGTGTAATTTCTTCTTGTAACAAAAGTATTTTACCACAAGGAAATATATACTATTTGGCTCAGCTTAATATAGAGGACTGTTTGATTGTAAAGAGCATAAAATAAATGTCAACAATTTTCATTTTCTCTAAATTTAAAATAAGCAAACACAAAATAATAAAAATATTTTAAATTTTAAAATTCTCGATAAAATGTTACATAACACTTTTTTTAACTCATTAGTTTCCAATTGAATAAAATAATAGAAAATCCATTTATAATGAAATGTTATCAAAAGTGGAATGACAAGATTAATTGAATTAAATTAATATTAATAGAGTCAAAGTATGGGTTTAATAATGTTTTTCCATTTGGGAATAAAAGTAAAATTACACATTTAAATGCTTATAAAAAACAGCATAAATATTTCACAAAATACAATAGCTTTTAGGAGGACAAGGTACCTGTCTTAAGAAATAGTAAAACATCTTAATTTGGCTACTATGTATAATCAACTGCCAAAAATAAAAAATGATAGAGATATTTTTTCTGTTTTTAAAACATAATACAGAAGCTTGAATAAACCATCATATATTGGCTGAGAATAATTAAAAAATAGTAGAATAACATTTCATGTAATACTTTAGAAGTATTTAAATCGTCTGATTAAGAATATGCTATGGTCAACAGCAAGTAATAGAATATTAGTTCATTATGTTAAGCTTTCTACATGCTTTTTGAAACAGCTTCACTATGTTTTGATGAATTCGACAGGTGATTCCCTTAAAAAAGTACTTTTGACTTGTCTACCACAAAGTTCTTAAACTTTAAAAGGCACTTTTTTCTTAGATAAAAGTTCTTTTTGACAATTAAAGGCTTAAGAAACTTATCAAAAAATAAAACAATTTTTTAGAGATAAAACACCTTTTTAACAAATAGTACATTAATAATTGTACAAAAATTTTTAGTTTAAAATTTCTTTCAACTTATTTGTCCACTAAGGTCTTCAAAACTTTAACAGGCTTTTTTATGATAGGTAAAAGAATTTTTAACAATTAAAGGCACTTGTTACATTTTAATAAGTAAAATGACTTCTTAACAAGTAGAATATTAACAACTTTAACAGCAGAAAATCTTTATAGAAAAATACCTTTTGATATAAGTTTTATAAATTTAAAGGTTAATGTATTTCTAAAAACTAGAAATCCTTTGACAAGTAATATGATGGAAGATACATTCCCCTATGTATAAAGATAAAATTCTAAAAGTATAAAATTTAGATATAACTCTACGTAGCTCAATATAAAATAGGTAACAAGAAATTTAGCACATCACGTTTTAGCTAGTCTGAGGACATGAAGAATAACCTCATCAACAGTTTGATTATTGAGCAGAGTCTTAACAGCATTATCGTCAATAACAACCGTAAAAAGTAACTTAGCATTTTCACGCAATCTATCCATGTAAACATAATGATCTCTGCTAACAGGTGTATGTCCACATCTCTGAATAACTAATTCCAAAACCTCATCAACAGGTTTATCTGGCCATCCAAAACCGATGAGAGTCGGCTCATCAATAAGTAGATACAAAAGTTCTCGTATATTTTCAGTAAGATCCTTCTCACTCAAAACCCTAGTATTGATGATATTGGTGTCTTTCTCGTCTTTTTCGTCAAAGAGTAGTTTATCGAACACATCTCTGTGTCGCTTTCTCATGTGCCGCAGTAGACAATCCTTGCGAATGAAAGCCCTGCCACATTCATGACAAGACCTTGGCTCCTCCTTTGTATGCGTCAAGAGATGTAGCTTTAAAGACGGTTTCACAGAGAAACGTCTGTCACAGGTCGGACATTTATAAGGTTTTTCCCCAGTGTGCAAAACAGAGTGACGCATGAGATCTTCTTTGCGAGTGAATGACTTTTGGCAATGTTCACAAACAAATGGTTTGAGTTTTATATGAACGTAAAGCTGATGCATTTGAAGACGGGCTTTTCTATTAAATATTTTGCCGCAGTCGTCACATTTAAAACCATTTTCTCCAGTGTGGAAAAACATGTGAGCATTTAAACCACCTACTTGAATGAATTTTTTCCCACAAAAGGTGCAAGTATGAGGTCTGATGCCAGTATGAGTTCTTAAATGGCGACTCAAAGTTCCCTTCAAAGTAAATCTAAAAAATGGAAGAAAAAAAAACTTTTAACAAAAAAGAAAAACTTAAAGCTTGGACCTAAATGTTTACTTTTTGCATAATAGAAGGTGAGCAATGGTACACTTTAATTAGTAAAAGTGAGTGACAAGTATTTAGATTTGTTATAGCAGAAACGTAATGTAACAAAATTTAAGATTTGTTGGGGAAATAATATAAAATGAAGAAATATATTCAAATGAACATAGGGTACACTTTTTGCTACTACAGATGAATAAATAAAGTCAAACGATGTTAATAAATCATAAAAACAGACATAGTTATAAAATGATCAGGGTGGCCACACACGCTCAGAGAAAAAATTCCCTAACTTATAAATAATTTTTTTAAATTGATTTCATTGACTTTCCCTTATTTTAGTAACCAGCAGCATTAATTTCATCATTAGTATTTCAGACGTGCCTTATTCTTAAACGTAAAGTTTTTGCTTAAAAAAATAAATTGCAATTTTAGATACTTTGAAATAATTAAATTTTACTGTCTTTGAGGATATTTAGTTAAATTTCATGATGTTTCCCTTATTTTTTCAGATTGATACAATACCCTTGATTTATCCTGTTTCTCCCTGATTTTTTATTTCTGTAATAAGTAAGACGTCAAAGGCTACTACTTTTGGTGTTTGTGAAACAGAATTGCAATTCTTGTAAAATGGCACCTATGTAGGATAACACTTTCGTTTTAAAATTAAAATTGTTAATAAAAGCAATTAATGTCATAATTAAACAAGCAATGTTCTTGGTTTGCAGGCTTAAATTAATTTATTTAAAAGACCTATAAGCAACTATTGTTATTTAAGATATATACATGAAGTATTTGATGCAATATATCTGAATAGTAGTTAAATATGATTTTCAGTGACAGAAATGTATGAAAGAATAAGCATTAGCATCATATATTATTATTGCTTTACTAACAGGGAAATGCCTACTTCTGAAAATAATTTTACATATATTTTACTTACTACTTTAGTGATAAAAATTTTTTCGTACATCTACCTGAAATAATTTATCTTTGAAAGTACTGATAATTTACTATTTGAAAGATATTTTTATTTCTTTTCAACTCGTCCGACCATTTGCCCTCAGCTTTTTAAAAAAATTTCCAGCTGGTGCTAATAAAGCCTCCGATTAATTGAAACATCTAGCTTTGCATACAGATTTTTCCCATTAACTATTTGAGGGGAAAGATCTCCAGTAAGATGCTCATAATACTTTTTTTTTTTAAAAAAAAAAAACAAAGGTAGTGAGTGATTTGTAATTTAGTCAATAGTGCAAAGTAAATGGTCCAGATCTTAAACCCTATAAACTGGAAAAAGAAACAGGCAACAGCCTTAAATCTTTCAAGAGGTTTTTACAACACAGTAAAGCAATGATACTTAAGGGAGTAACATTGTAATGTAAAGAAATTTCTGTACAAACGGATCTATCCAAGAAGTTTGCCCCATTCAATGCAAATTGGTTGATTTGATTTTTAAAAAATCTTACTTTTTGCTCTGGTACTTATTAAGTCCACTTTATGTCGAACGATACTAGCCAAAATAAATAAGCAAAAGAAAAAAATTACCTCCTTCCACATTCATTGCAAGCATAAGGTTTCTCCCCTGTATGAGTCATACGATGCTTGGACAGAGCTCCAGTAGAGGGAAATTTTTTTGGACAATAATCACAAGCATAAGGTTTCTCTCCAGTGTGCTTACGAACATGAATTGCAAGTAAAGATTGACCATGGAATGCCTTGTCACAATACGGGCACTTGTGATTTTTCCTACGATGCACTTCACCGGTATGAGATCGTAAATGTTCACGTAAATTGTCCTAATAAAGTAATGAAAGCATAAATATCTCATTCTTTAAAAATAATAATGATTTTTATTTAAATAAACACATTTCGTCAAAAAATATAAATAAAAATGTAATAAGGCAAATTCATATTCAGACTTTCGCTCATTTAGCAATAGCAGATATCAGGAAAGCACAACCATTTTTTGGTAGTAGGCTGCAAAAATTAAAAGGCTGCAAAAATTAAATAAAGTAGGCTGCAAAAATTAAAAAATACAGTAGAGTCCGGATAATTTGAGGTGGATGGGACAGAGCCCACCTCCAACTTTCAAAACCTCAAAAATTTAAATTTAAGAAATATTTAAATAAATAGAAACAAAGCAATTTTTAAATTTCAGTATTTAATGTAAAGAAAATTTACTTACATTAGATGATCAGGGAACATTTACTGCATTACATCAAGTTATAATATTCATTTTATTACGGCATAAGGTTAATTGTACTTTAAACTAATTGTCTAATGTTTTTTATAAATACACTTTTCACATGTTTCAAAGTTTAATACATAAATTTGTTTTTCAACATTCAGTAGTAGTAAGCGTTCCGCATGTTGTGTTTGTGTTGATCATTGTTTGGAAGCAAAAGCTGATTTATTTTACTAGCTCGGATTTATGGAAAACTCGAATAATTGAGACTCTACTGTACAAAGGTGGGGACCAAAAATAAATAATATAATACTGTTTTAATAAATATGCGAGGAATATATAGACTCTCTTTGAAAGTAATGTGAATAATTTACAAGTCCATAATTAATCATTTGCACCAGTGCAGATAATAAAAATAATTAATGCTAATAAATTTAAACAATTATACTTATTAGAATGCAAAGCAAATTATGGCAAACTTATGAAAGCATTGGCATGCAACAAAAAAGAGAACTTAAATTTACAAACATCCTAAAAGTTAACTTACCCTATTATTCAGAACACAAAATTTGTTACTAATGCAGTATCAGATTAATGAGATGACAGTTGTTAGAATTTTGAAATTATTTTTTTTATTCATCTTATCTACTTGTATAATTGTATTTTCTTCTCTTTTAGCTTATTTACAAATTTATAAGCAATTATATTCTTCTGCAAACTCTGAATAACTTTCATAATGAAACTGAAATTGTCACATTCTGGCCAATTGTCATATTTACATTTGAGAACAGTTGTAAACTAGATCAGTAACTTTCTCTTACTCTTTTCCTTTTATATTTTATTATTAATTTAGGCAGTTTCAGGGACAAGTTACAAAGCATTAGAGGTCACTTTTGGATCGCAGGCCATAGGTTGAGCATTTCTGGGAGATATTATTTCAAATTCATTATTACTTTAACATAAGTTTTTATATTTGTACTTTTAAAGTCTCATGTCTGATAAGTCATAAGTGAGAGCATAAACTTGAAAATATAATTTGGAATGATAAGCCCTACAAAAAGTGAATAATTAAAGGGAATTAAGTGAATAATAAATGCCTAATTAAGTCTAGCGATGGCTCTGATACCTATTCACAATTCTAGTATATTTTAAGAATTTTCTTAAATTGAAAGATCAATGCTCATTAAAATAATCCATGCAATTCTGTAAATGAAAGAAAGTGCTAAAACTAAGAAAAAAATTCCTTTAACTGAAAATAATCATAATATATTTGAAGATTTCTCCAACTATCTAATTGAATTGAAACTTTACAGCAAACCAGATGGCAAAAATATCAACCATTAGATTAACACTATAGTTTGAAATAACATTATTGATTTTCAATGTTTGAATAGGTGATAAAAAATAGCTTTCATGATAATTTAAAAATAAAAAGCATAACACACTTTTAGTTACGTATTTTTTTCCCTGAAATAGTTTTTAATAAGTCATTATTATTAAGATTTTATTTTCAAGTTACACAACACCTATTTTTAAGTACATTTTTTATTTAACATAATAGCAAAAACACAAATTTTAATACTTATTGCACAATTATAACGAGTACGAAAGTAAAGGAATATTTTGTATACCTTTCTTGTATATACTCTGTTACATAATTCACAGGGAAATGTCGGCATAGGTAAACCAGAGCATTTAGATATTCGTAAATGACGATCAAGATGATACTTTCGACTGAAATTTTTCTGGCATACAGCACAAGTAAAAGCAAAGCCTTCTTTATTAGCAACTTTCTTCGAATTAGTAGTTTCTGATATTCTCTCAGGTGAATCTACACTTGGGCCTGGTTCCTGAGGAAAACTTGTTCCATTGCTTTCATCATATATATCTAAATAATCATGTGGATCATTTTCCTCTTTCACTGGCTGCGGAAAAAAATTTATTGGTTTCTTTAATATTGACATACATAAAGAAGTATAAATAGCAATTGATTTTTAATAAATTATTTCACAGCAATTGATTAAGTTATTTCATAGTCATTGATTTTTAATTTAATTTAAAATATACAAATTTGAAGCCTATATATTTAAAAAAATTTATAAGTAACAAAAAAGTTTTAAAAATATAATTCAATTTGATAAAATGTTGAAACTTTGTGCAAAGCATAAGGTATAAAACTAAATAAACACCTGCTAAATATACATACTCAGTGTGCAATATTAGAAATAAGAGATTTTTGCTTTGAGGAGCATACAACAGATATACATAATGTACTCGTACGTGGGAATACTATTCATAAAAATTTGTCCTTATTTCAAGCAATTTTTTTAGCATTAACTCAGATTAAAAAAAAGAAAAAGATACGCAACTAAAAGGCAAAACTAAGCTAATCAATATAGCTAGTATGAAATCTTCAACATAACTGTTAAATTATATAAATACATGCAGGCATGTAAAATAATCAAAATAGTTTTATTAATAATTAAAAGACTTTTGGAACAAATTTGTTACAATTTGGAGGAGGTGAAAGGGTTGAGAATAGTTACAAGAATTGAAAAATTTCTTACAGAAGTTTTATTTACTAAGATTTTATGTTAGCAGAAAGTTTTTCATTTTTTTCTAAATTTGGTACATAGTTCGGCCCACCTCCAAGTCAAATTTTTATTTAAATCAATCAAATAAGCAAGGTTAAAAATTTCAAGCTCAAAGAAGAGTAATCAATTTAGACATAAAAAAATTGCTATGTTGCACAATTTATAAGAAACAATTATCACAAGTCAAATTGGCATACAAATTTAGTATGTGATACCGGGAACAATCAATATGAAATATATAATAATAAAATAAAATAGTAACTATTTCAAGCCTAAATAAATAAAATTTGATTTAAATATAAATAATAAAGAATCTAAATGTAATAATAAATAAATAATCTGCCTTCTTAAATAAATAAAAAAAAAACTTAAAATATTGAGTAACTAATTTACAGTTTCAATTCTAATCTATAATCACAATTCAACAAATAAAAAAATCAAATTTGATTGCTTACAGAATGACAATACAACAATTTATTGAACAGACGATAGTGTAGTAAAAATATACAATTCCATTAACTTACTTGAAGCGGAGTTAATATTTCAGGTTCGATGTTATCAGGCAAAATGGCATCATCTTTTTCAGCTTCTTTGTTAGAAACATTTCCAGAATTTTGAGCCTCTACAACAGTAATAACCTCTGGAATGATGATATTATTTTCCAGTACAGAGCTTGATTGCTTATTTGTTGGCTCATCACTAACTTCTAACAAATCTATTTCTTTTTTTACTAAGTATAAAGAAGAAATTCAGAATTAAAAATGTGTTTGAATGGACAATTAAAATTTACAAGTTCAAGATATTAAAATTTTACTGTATAAATTTTTTTTGCGAAATTCAGTAACAGGATAAAAAAGATTTCTGTAAAGTTAGCTTTTTAAGATATAAAATAAATATTTCTTGCATTAAAAATTTAAATGCAAAATTATATTGACTAAATATAGATATATACAGTTAGACTTCTATTTAACGAACTTCCATTTCACGAATTTCTCTATTTTGGATTTTTTTCGAGGAACAAAGAACATTTTGGAAATTTCATAAAATAACTTCCAAATAGCGAAGTGAATTCTCTATTAAACGAACTTTTCTTTGCGATCCACTATACCTATTTCTTAAAATATTTAAGAACATTTCAAACTTATTAATACATTTTATGGAGGAAATGACCTTGAATTGATTTTCGAAGCCACTTAATTTTTAGAGAAAGCAGTAAAATCCCACTCCCTTTTCGTGTGCATTTCAAACGAAAAACTCAGACATAATTAACGGACTTTATCAGCAGCGATTTAACTTGAGAACGCATGTGGTAATGTAAATGGAATGTGTGTAGTATGTTTAAAATTACTTTTATAAGTTACACGCAGCTATAATTTTTATATATCAACTTAGCCTTTTTAGTTTAAAATGTATGTAGCATGATAGTGCAACACTGGATAATGTTTTGCTCTATTTTTGCTTTCCATGCAGATTTCATTTAGGATATTAAGATGTATAAAATAAATGGTAGATACTAGTTTAAAGGAAGAAGGTGCATCAATTGCTATTTTAATTATGTCTAGGGCTTAAGAATTTAAAACCTGTTTTGCGTTGTTTAAGTATTTCAAAAGATGAGTTTCTATTTAATGAATTTTCCACATAACGAACTTATTATCAGAATTTATCAACTTCGTTAAATAGAGGTCCGACTGTATATATATTTCTCTAAATGATAACAATAATTTAATTCAAATTAAGCAGTTCCCAATCTTACATAACCAGTTTCCTGGGAGTGTTTTTTACAATTTCAAACATGATTAGAAAAAAAAAAAAATGGAAAAAGAAGCAGCTTAACACATTAATTGCAATAAAAATAGAATTTGTTTTACTAAGATCTAAAAAACTAAAAATTCACCCACCATTTCCAGCTAAAGCAGCACTATCAGCATTCATATTGTTATCAAACAGAATTTCTACATCATTACCAGATGGGTATTTTTGACGAACTGCATCTTTTCCTCTAACAGTCGGGGAATCTGATGTGTTGATATTACTCTTTTTTGACCTGCCAATATTAGTTTTTCTATTGGTAAGTACTGGTAAACTTTTTTTAGCAATAGGTTCAGTATTTCTCTCCAGAGAAAATGCAATATTTTTTCGTAAATTTGATGCAGATATTTGCATTGTTTTGGTTTTACTAACTGCAGAACCTTCAGAAGGCTGAGGTACCTTTTCACAAGATTTTGAATTCGATAGTAAAGTCTTGACCTTATTGAACATTGAGGACTGCAAGCCTCCACCACTGGGAACTTCGGTATCATTTTGCACATTTTCTCGGTCAGCTGACACTTCACATGATTCCTTTGTCTTTACCGAATTTTTAACACTTTGCCCTCTTTTCTTCTTTAACGGGGGAGCAGATCCATTTATATCATTTTCTTCAGAGTGTAATTCAGAAAACACAGGAGTAGCATCATTGGCAGGGGCCCGACGTTTCCTTCCATAACTTTTTGGAATATCAATTTTAGTGTCATTTTCTTTTGTGCGCAACTTTCGTCTGGACTGGGACTCTAAAGTTGTATTAACAACTCCAATGTCAGCATTTCCATTTTCAATAGAAGCTGCACTTGAAATCACTTTTGAAGCTTCTTTTTTTCCTCTTGAAGTTGGAGTTTTAGTTCCAGTCTTTGATGTTACCTAAAAAAGAAGATTTTTTAAAGCTAAATATAAAGAAAATTTGTTTAGCCAGCAAAATTATTTTGAACATTACATCAATATAAAATTAAATAAATAATTTTTTTAAAAAAAGACAGCAAAGTGCAGCACTGACAGAAAAAACCCCCACTTGTTTGGAATCTAGTCATTCTTGTATGTGCATTCTTTTCCAGTTCTGCAATAAACTAAACTTTAATTCGCTTGTTTATCCCTTTCTGAATATCTAATCTTGATTCATAAAACAGCTTTAAGTGTAACAGCAGGAATAATTTAAAATTTCCTCTCACTATGACGACTCTCTGTCTTGAAAACAAACTGAAATAAATATTTTGACAAAAATCATAACATGAGTGTTTTTGTGAAATAAATCGGTTGGAGCTGAACAACGGCATTTTAAACCTGTGCATTCATAAAATCTTGGAGTATTTTAGAAAGACACAACAAGATGCTTTAGAACAAAATGCATTGAAACCTCATATGACCAAAAACAGGTGTTATTTAATAAAAATAATACCTTTTTTTAAAAAAATTTTTCCATCTAGGTAATGAAAATTTAAAGATGCATTTTCTTCAAGGTAAATGACTTACAAAATAAATTCAATACATCATTAAAAATAGAAATAACTAAATTACCTCTTTGTTCTTAGGTATTTCACAAACATACTGGTGTTTTCTTAACAATCCAATGGAAGAGAATTCTATTTTGCACTGCTTGCAAGAAAAACTTTTGCACTTTATAGCTTTCTTGTTTGTAGTTGCCAAGGAAGAAACTTTAGGCTTCACTGGTTCTGATAAAGCTAGATTTGGTTTAACTAAAACTTCTTTTGCTGCTTTTAATTTCTTAGAATTTTTAGTTACTTTGTTATTGATAGTTTTAGCAGGAGTTTTACGCAAAACTCTTCTCACACCACTTGTTTTTGGAGAAGCCAGTGTGGGTTTCTTTGTTATCTTCCTGGAAATGGAAGGTTGAGTTTTTGAAGATATCTTTCCTTTTGCCTTCAACTTGGGCTTTCTTTTAGCAGCCATGTTATCTAAAGAAAAGAAAAAACAATGAAAAATACAAAGGTTATAGCTTATTGAAACAGTTTCATAAAAACAATTTTGTTTTTTGCTGTTTTAATAGGTTTAGATACAGAAAGTGTAAATATTCATCTAAACTAAACTAAACTCAGCGGCACGACAGTCCTTGAAAGTCAAGGCCTACTGGGCCCATCTCAGTTTTCTTGACCTTGGGCTCTGGGGTCCAGGAGCAGATGTTTCGGTCAGGTGGTCAGTCGAACGTGGAACCTCCAGTATTTAGTTCCCAAGCATGCTTGGTACTCATTTATCGACCCACTGAAGAGATGAAAGGCTGAGTCAATCTTGCCCGGCCCGAGGATCGAACCAGGGATCTGCGGCACGACAGCGCTACCGCTCAGCCACTGGGCGTCAAATATTCATCTATTTTATGAAAATAATGAGCTTTGCTCACCAACACATGCAATTATATTTCTATGGTCGATAAACAATTAGAGCCATGATAATTAAATAATATTCGTTAGAAATAGTCCAAATTTTTTATTGTGTTAATAGAAATTTGTTCCACAGATTGAGTTACTAATTCAGTTCATATTCGGATAAATTTCAAACTAATTTTTAACTTGTTTTTAAAATTCTTATTTAATATTTTATTATCACAGAAAATCATTAATGTCTTTAGATATAATCTTTTGCCAATTAGATTACTTAGCAATAGTGAAGAAAGTTAATCCTTAATGTTGCGATAGAATATTAAATAATTATTTTGCATTAATTATTTTAATTACATACTTTAAACAGGCTCAGTTTTAAATATAAATCATTATAAAAGTAAATAAAAAATTTTCAAAAAAACAAAAAAAAAACTTATTTACTTTTCAATTAAAAAAGTAATATGGGATTACCTATGTTAAAATAATCAAGTTTTGGAGAGTTCTGAGGGATAACAAATAAAGGACGCTCACTTAATCCCATAAAAATTTGACAAAATGTGTAATATCTCGTAATAACTGAATTTTATCCTCCACAATTTTCAAATTACCCTCTCATACTACTTTATGTATATAATTCAAAAAGTAATTCTCTCTCCTTAAAATAAGTGAAAAATGTGTAGTTTATAAAATAATTAAAGGCATGTTAAAAGGCAATCTCTATGTATATATACAGGGTGATTCTAAAAAGATAGGAAAAATTTTAGGAAGTGATAGTACACACCCAGACAAACAATTTTTATCAAAGAATGCATGGTCGAAAATAAAACACAAAACCCCTAGAGGACGTCAAAGTTTATGTTCTTATATGAGGCAAAAACACACAAAGAACGATGAAGTTAAGTTATAAAAGCAAATTTAATGGCATGTGATTACAGTAAGTGTTCAAAACAGTGGCCGGCAGCGGCTATGGTGGTACAATGGAGAAGAAAAGATAGGCGAACTTTAACTGCAGCGGCCGAAAGCTTGGCGACAAATAATGTAGCGCTGTAACTTGCAATAGTAATGGAGCTTTCTCGTTAGCATGAAAAAACCTTCCAAATGCGCCAGCACTTTTGCGTTTTGTTTTCGACCATGCATTCTTTGATAAAAATTGTTGGTCTGGGTGTGTACTATCACTTCCTAAAAGTTTTCCCGTCTTTTTAGAATCACCTTGTATATATTTTTAAAAAGTAAACTAACAAAAATTCATAAACAACTTGAAAGCTTTTTTCTATAATTTAAAATAAAAATTATGAAAAAATGAACATTTAAAGGTGCATTTCTTTTTCTTTTAAAAAAAGGGTATTCATTTAAAAAAATTTTTATAAAATTTAAAATCATGTAAAATTTATTAACAAGAACTTAACCAGTTGAGAAGAATCGTAATGAAGTAAATCGTAACAGTAATTAGACCTAAACCTATAAATGCAGATAATTTTCCAGTGTGTAATTATTATTTAAACAGTGAATTATTATTTTTTTCAAAATGGAATCTGAATAAAAAGGCAGTGTGTGTTTTTCAAAAAGGGTACATTTATCGGGATCAAAGGGAAAGCAGAATGGGCTGCCCTTCCAAAAAAAAAAAAAAAAATGCTTAGGGACAACACTGAAAATATTCCACATCATCTGAAACTGCATGTTTATGTAATTTTTCGATTACACCTCAGAAATTTATTTCTATAAATCTAAATGTCAAAGGTAATTGAAATAATAGTAATGTATTAAAATGGAAATTCATTGCAGAAGTTGTTTGATTGTGACAAATCTTGATTATTATACATGGAATGTGATCGATAACATCATTTTTGGAGTAAATTACATGGAGTATGAATTGACTTCTAAAAACATGTTAATAAGAAAGGAATTGCTGTAGATTTCCAACAGGTAAATAAATTAAAAATTGACCCATTTTTACAAATAAGTATTGTGTAAATAGTGTTATAATGATAAATAACACAATGAATTCACACATTTGAAAAAATTCCAGACTGAATCATTTAGAAAGAATAAATTAGTACTGTTAGAAATTTAATTCTATCAGAAATATATGAAATTCATCTTGTTTGGAATACACTTTAATCTATAGAAATGTATTGAAAAGTTGATAAAGAATACATCTTTGAATAAGATTTGAGTAATATCATCCCTCGACAAGCAATGAAAGTCATTTCTCTTTATTGATCTTTAATTCAATTTGAATATAGGATTCTTTATTTACATAACAAATAAAAAGGGCAACTATGTTTCTCCATGTTCCTTAAAAGAATTATTATTAACTTGCAAGCTAATTTAATATTTGCATAATTACAGATCGGTTAAGAGTTCATAATTAAATGATCAGTTAAAATGTAAGTCATTGTTATACAATTAATGCTTTCGTCGATAAGTAGTTATTGAATGTTTACGTTTCTTAAAATTAGTGAACGTTGAATTGAATTTATGTACATACAGTTATAGTTCAATCAGATCAATACATTCAAACAAAACGAAAAGATGTGTGCAACTAGGAGAAAACAACAATTGAAATGAAATAAATNGGCAGGGTGCAAAAGTTTAAAAAAGGGGCATTATTATTCTAAAAAGGCAATAATTTCTTTCTATGGGCCTTACACGCTCTATTAAAAAACATTGTCAAGTAATAAAAGATTTTTTTTTATTTTTAATTTTACTAAAAGTAGCAAAGCAATCATATTTATTACTAATTTTTATTAATAAATTCACATATATATCGGGTTAATGAGCTAATTATCTTAGTAATTTATTTAAAATGCATGCATGTAATAATAAATGTATGTTTTTAAGTGTCAGTAGTTATGATTTAATAATTAAAATGATTAATAATTATGATTTAATGATAGTGGAAGTAACTGCAAACTTTAAAGATAAGTGCAATAAGGGGGTGTGATAGCTATTTTTCCTTTCCCTCCTTTCCCATATAAATTGTATTGACAGCAACGACAAACTAAATAAAAAGCGTTGAAAAGTTTAAGAAATCCATTGTAGAGTTTGGTGGAAAAATAAAGAAGGGTTGAGGAAAGAAAGAGTATGGACTCTATTACATCAGGGCACTAATTTACTTCAGGTGCAACAGGGTGGATTCTTTTGACTAAAAGGGCAACAGGGTGCTGCGCCCTGTTTACCCTGCCTAGAATGAGCTCTGATTAAATAATTATTTTTTTAATTATTTTAATTACATATTTTAAACAGGCTCAGTTTTAAATATAAATCATTACAAAAGTAAATAAAAAATTTTCAAAAAAAAACAATAAAAAAACTTATTTACCTTTTAATTAAAAAAGTAATATGGGATTACCCATGTTAAAATAATCAAGTTTTGGAGAGTTCTGAGGAATAATAAATAAAGGACGCTCACTTAATCCCATAAAAATTTGACAAAATGTGCAATATCTCGTAATAACTGAATTTTATCCTCCACAATTTTCAAATTACCCTCTCATACTACTTTATGTGTATAATTCAAAAAGTAATTCTCTCTCCTTAAAATAAGTGAAAAGTGTGTAGTCTATAAAATAATTAAAGGCATGCTAAAAGGCAATCTCTATGTATATATACAGGGTGATTCTAAAAAGAAGGGGAAAATTTTAGGAAGTGATAGTACACACCCAGACAAACAATTTTTATCAAAGAATGCATGGTCGAAAACAAAACCCAAAACCGCAAGAGGACGTCAAAGTTTATGTTCTTATATGAGGCAAAAACTCACAAAGAACGATGAAGTTAAGTTATAAAAGCAAATTCAGTGGCATGTGATTACAATAAGTGTTCAAAACAGCGGCCGGCAGCAGCTATGGTGGTACAACAGCGAAGAAAAGATAGGTGAACTTTAACTGCAGCGGCCGAAAGCTTGGCGACAAATAACGTAGCGCAATAACTCGCAATAGGAATGGAGCTTTCTCGTTAGCATGAAAAAACCTTCCAAATGCGCCACCACTTTTGCGTTTTGTTTTCGACCATGCATTCTTTGATAAAAATTGTTTGTCTGGGTGTGTACTATCACTTCCTAAAAGTTTTCCCATCTTTTTAGAATCACCCTGTATATATTTTTAAAAAGTAAACTAACAAAAATTGATAAACAACTTGAAAGCTTTTTTCTATAATTTAAAATAAAAATTACGAAAAAATGAACATTTAAAGGTGCATTTCTTTTTCTTTTAAAAAAAAGGGTATTCATTTAAAACTTTTTTACAAAATTTAAAATCATGTAAAAATTTATTCACCCTTTACCTGAAAAAAAATATTAACAAGAACTTAACCAGTTGAGAAGAATCGTAGTGAAGTAAATCGTAACAGTAATTAGACCTAAACCTATAAATGCAGATAATTTTCCAGTGTGTAATCATTATTTAAACAGTGAATTATCATTTTTTTCAAAATGGAATCTGAATAAAAAGGCAGTGTGTGTTTTTCAAAAAGGGTACAATTATCGGGATCAAAGGGAAAGCAGGGTGGGCTGCCCTTCCAAAAAAAAAAATGCTTAGGGACAACACTGAAAATATTCCACATCATCTGAAGCTGCATGTTTAAGCAATTTTCGATTACACCTCTGAAATTTCTTTCTATAAATCTAAATGTCAATGGTAATTGAAATAATAGTAATGTATTAAAATGGAAATTCATTATAGAAGTTGTTTGATTGTGACAAATCTTGATTATTAGACATGGAATGCGATCGATAACATCATTTTTGGAGTAAATTACATGGAGTATGAATTGACTTCTAAAAACATGTTAATAAGAAAGGAAAAAAATAATAAAAATTACATTATTTAAAATGTATGTATATGCTATTAAGTTTCCTACATAATCATATTGATCCATGTTGAATGCAATTTTGATAATTTGAAATATTTAAACTTGTAAAATAAATCACCCAGAATAATTAAAATTTAACAATCATGTTAAATAATTTCTAAATCTATTTAAAAGTTATTGTCATCTAATTAAGATGTAATGGAATCATGATATTTTTATTTCTCTTGCTGTAGATTTCCAACAGGTAAATAAATTAAAAATTGACCCATTTTTACAAATAAGTATTGTGTAAATAGTGTTATAATGATAAATAACACAATGAATTCACACATTTGAAAAAATTCCAGACTGAATCATTTAGAAAGAATAAATTAGTACTGTTAGAAATTTAATTCTATCAGAAATATATGAAATTCATCTTGTTTGGAATACACTTTAATCTATAGAAATGTATTGAAAAGTTGATAAAGAATACATCTTTGAATAAGATTTGAGTAATATCATCCCTCGACAAGCAATGAAAGTCATTTCTCTTTATTGATCTTTAATTCAATTTGAATATAGGATTCTTTATTTACATAACAAATAAAAAGGGCAACTATGTTTCTCCATGTTCCTTAAAAGAATTATTATTAACTTGCAAGCTAATTTAATATTTGCATAATTACAGATCGGTTAAGAGTTCATAATTAAATGATCAGTTAAAATGTAAGTCATTGTTATACAATTAATGCTTTCGTCGATAAGTAGTTATTGAATGTTTACGTTTCTTAAAATTAGTGAACGTTAAATTGAATTTATGTACATACAGTTATAGTTCAATCAGATCAATACATTCAAATAAAACGAAAAGATGAGTGCAACTAGGAGAAAACAACAATTGAAATGAAATAAATTTATGATTTAAGGAAATAATTAAACCTGTAAAGGACGCTCTCCCTTTTAACAAATATAGAACTATCAAGTCTTTCTTGATCTATAGCTTTTAATACCGGTGACATATAATTAAACGACCGTGTTAAAATTAGTTGAAATAAACACCACTAGGGTAATAAATCTGATTGAAATGATTTTTATAAAATATAGGGTAATCAGTTGATATAAATTTTCACGAAATAACGTAAACTAAAATATGTGAATTATTTGCAAGAGATTTTATAAATCATTGCAGTTAATAATAAAAATAAATAAAAATATATCATTGCTTGCGATCACAGGACAACTGGCAACAGTATATTTTTGTTTACGTTTAGTGCTTTTTTTGGTTGAATTGTAGTTTTGGAATCATATTAAATTAATATATTTTGTTTTATAGTCAGAACTTGTTAATATTTATTATTGATAAATCATGTATATAGAATATGCAGCTATGCACCTACCAGATGAGAAAAAGCAGTTAGATTTTAAAGCAAAAGCTCCAGTTTCTATTTTTTTAGATGATGACAGAGCTGATTACAAACCTGGTTGCAGCGTTATGGAAATATCTTTCCCTGAACCTGTTACGGTACTTTTCGTTTTACAATTAATTTTTTGACTTTATACTATGTGATATCTATCATATAACTGAAATCGGATTCAGGGTTGGGCCTAGTTCACCCCAGACATTTTTTTGATTTCCTAGAAATGTCAGTTTTAAATAAGTGAACAGAAAAAAATATTGAATACGTATATATATGTATGCCCACCTTAAAAATATTTTATGGTTAAACTTATATAGATGTAGACGGGTGACAAAATATTTATAAGTAGGTGATTTATCATTAGACTGTCTGGTTAAAAACTCACAATCAAGTATACCACTCTTACTGGAGCAATTTGGTTACAGTGTAGAATAGGGTGCATCTTTCTTTGAGCACTGTAACTTGAAATTTTTACTGAATAACAAATCTTCGGAAATATTCCATTATTCGGTTATTTTTATTGCAATTGCTTATTGGAAATCCTCACTTATAACCCATTTTTCCTGTATTTTGGAAGAATATAATATAATATAATAAACTTATGTTCTTAAGTTTTATGTTAATTTAAAAAACTGAGAAATAAGTCAGATTTTATAATAATAATAAGAGAAGATTGAAATAATAAGCAAGCAAATGAAAGATTTTATATATCCCATTAGAGCTTTATCCAAATACTGTATTTAATCTGAAGGGCACCATCTTCTGCACTCTAACCAACTGTGTGAAAGATTAATTGATAAAAGAGGTAGTATGTAATAAAAAATACATGCAAAAATAGTGAAAATAAAATAAGCAATTTTATACAAGGACAGGTATTCACTACGCAATGACATCAAAAGATCAGTATGCAGATTCTCATGTGCCTCTGTGAATCCAAATCTGCCCAGTGATTTCTTAATTTATTTTATCACAATACAGATATCCTTGGATCTCTTTTTCCTAAATTAAATTTAAATCATCCCTAAGACTTGCAACCAAAGTCACTAAATTTCTTGTAATTTATTCTCCTGTAACTCATTCCCTCTCTATGTATTTTACATTTTATTTTATAACTGAAGTTGAACAGCTGACCCAATTTTTTGGGTTTACAACTACCAATGTTCAATTCCGTAGCCTTGTAATTTTGAACCCAATCCAGAAGACAAGAGAACTCCTGGATTAAGTATTAGGAGACATTTGCTTTCGTGGAGGACTTTTTGATGGAACTAACCCGCATTTGCATTACAAGGAGAGGAGAACCACAAGAATCTCCCACGTCCAACCTGGGGATTCTAACTCATGGTCCGCCTACCTGGGAGGATATTATAAGTCAGCACTGTGGTCGTTGCAAGCCGGATGCGGAATTGTATCGACCAGCCATGGTTGGGATTAGAATCGGGTTCACCTCATTGCAAGGCAAACACACTATGTCCTGAGCCATCACGGCACCCTCTCTCTGTATTATTCCTCTCTATTTATAAATGTTTTTAAAAACCCATCTTTATGTATAAGGGAAAAGTTTTTGATATTTTCATTCACGAATTTTGCATATTTGTAATAATTTATTTTAAGACTTGCTTGGGTTTTAGTTATTTTTAGAGAACTCCAAGTTAAAAAGATTTCATATGAATTTATACCACTTAAAATACAACTATTACTACCATGGCATGCAGTCAACATAAGAAATTTTTTTTAAACTAACTATATCTATAATATTATAAATGTTTTGTGTCATTTGCTTCATGCTATATTCTTGCTATATTATGAAAGTGAAAAATCTCATGATATTTTGTTTTGATTGTTAGTTAAAATGTATGTTTTCTTTTCACTACTAGTCAGTAGTGCCCCATTTGTATTTTGTTTTAATACTAATGTTTATTTTTCTGTGTTTTCTGTGAATATTATATTTTCCTAAAAATTAACCTAATGTATCTCAATGAAGGGCTTCTTCTTTTAGATTAGCGAAATTCGATTTCGAAATAATTATACCGCTTTCATATCATTTTCTTGCAAAAAGGTGGCTTCAGAGAAGGATGTCAAAAGTGAGTTGAATTCTTATATTCACATCTTTGTCTGTAAATTCATGAATAATTATGCAATATTTTGCTATTACTGTAAATTATTCCTGTTCAATTAACTAACATATTTAACTAACACATAATAGGAAATAATGAACTAGAGGTGGTAAGCAGTTTTACGTATCTTGTAAATATAATTAAAAACAAAGGAGGAACTGATGAAGATATACTGAGTTGAATAAACAAAGCCCAAAGCAGTTACGCTATTCTTAATAACTTCTGGAAAAACAAAAACATAACAAATTCACCAAAAATTAGAATTTTCAATACTAATAATGTTAAATTTGTCCTACTACCTACAATTTGGAGTGAAAAGGAATATGTGTATGTATTTATTTTACTATGTTTATCTATTATTTTATTAAGATGATCGCATAACTACAGATGAAAAATTTTAAAATGGATGTTTAGTTTAGCATTACAACAAACTCTCTACAATTATAAACACCTACCAGACATAATCAATATATTAATAAACTTCAAATTATTGTGTCAAAGAGAAGATGCACCAATGCACACCTACATTATACCCATTCTCTATATACTGGGGGAGTGGGGAATACCGCTTGTGGTGAATACACTGTATTAAGAGCTTTCCTTTTTTACCCATGAAGAGCAACAGGGTTTGACATTGGGATTTGGGCATTCGCTGGCTGACCCTCTACCGCGTAGGAGGCTGAGTTTCATTCCCCTTCGATTGTTAAATGTGTGGTTACAATGTTTGGTAGCAGATATGTTTGGAAGAATCTGTGTACATTGTGAGAGAAATGACGCATCAACAAATTTAAGTACAGTACAGAATCCGAAAATCAGAAAACCGGAAAACCAAAAAATCGGAACGAAATTCGATAAATTTTCCCGCCATTTTTTTAAAAAAATGTTTTTTTTCCTCATAAGATTTTAGAATTTTCCTTTCTTTTTTGAAAGATATTTACCTTACCATCATGTTGGAAATAATCAATAGTGTATTACTTCATTGTTTTTTCTTCTTTTTAAGATTATTTCCAAATATTTCTTTTTTTTTAGTTGGGTTTAACAATAAAAAAACGGCTTTTTGTAGCGATTAAGAAAACCGGAAAAATCAGTTATCCGGAATAGCGATGGTCCCGATCGTTCCGGATAATCGGTTCCCTACTGTATTA